CCTTTCTACCCAAAGCGTTCCGCTGATGCGGAAGCTGAGGCAATTCCCTTCTACCATTAAATAGGCGGTCGGTGCGGCATGCTCCAAGTGCCATATTCTTGGAAGTGCAGACCTGGAACACGGAGGACATGTAGCAAGTCTCGAGTCAGAAACCTTCGTTTATCATGGCTTCGGCATTGTAGAGCGAGGTGGACCTGTAGAGTAAGAACCTGGAGCTGGAAGCGTTAGGTCTGGTTGCCACAACACGCTCATTAATGATAATTGTTGCATCAAGAATACTAAAGTGGTAACCGCGTCGCAGAAAGTGATGTATCCAGCCCAAATCGCCCCTCTATTCGGTGCTTGTTCGCCCTCTCGAGAGCAGCCAAAGTTGATTGATATCAGGCGAGTTGATTCTACTACTACGCCGTCGTGCCACCCGCTCATCTCTCTTCGCTGGCTGGGCATCCGTATTCAGGTGAAGCTTGAACGCTGTGCCTTTCTGATCATAGTCTTAGTCCAGATGGGTGCTATCATAAAGCATCATTCAGATCCGGAATACGAGACTCTCATTACGTACCATCGTTTGAGCAAATGCATCCTGAAGGAAGCTTGGCAAAAACTTCAATGATGAGTGAAGCGAATTTTATGTTACTTTTGAGCCGTAACTTGCGAATGCGACTGCGTATTGGGTAGGATGGGTGTAAGTAGACAGCAACAAAAGTGCCGCATAAACGCGGCGTCAGCCCGCATCTCGCCCACAAACGGCCCGCTACCGGGCCGTGACGATGTAGATCGCATCATTCGAGCTTCTGTCTTGGGCTTAGGGTGCGGGCGGGGTTCAAGGCGAAGCCATGCACATTATGTAGCGATTTCGTGGGGTCGATAAGCTTTGCTCTTCCTTCGAATCCTTCGGACTTCCGCTAAATCATGTTTCCTAGCGTCTATATAGGATTGCGTCAGATATGCAACACCTTCTGAATGCGTACATGACATACAGACATCTACTCTGAGCGCGATATCCCAGCTGTTGTAAAAGATTACGGGGAGCTGCGAGCGGTGTTTCTGCCCGTAGACCCCTACATTTCTGTCACCTGGCTCAATTCTGCTCTCTCCCACATGATAGCAAGAACACACGACTTTCTTGGAAAGCTCATTGATGTCTGATATGGTTAAGAGGTCAAATTGAGCAGCACGATACATATCAAGAATGTCCAAAGTGTAAGCACATCACGAGGGTAGAAGTTACCGTGCTAACAACTCCGAACTCTAGTCTCCAGTTTTTCACTGTACCATGGGCAAACAGAGACAAAGGGGAGTACGCTTGGCTTCCGGGAGACGCAAATGCCGAGCCTCATGTTGAAGATAGAATTCAAGTCTCAGCAAGAGGCAAACCTCACGTTTTTGGGCAAGCCGTATTATACGCAGGTCGTCTTTTGGCATTGTCGTTGGCGGCCTATGGTCTTTACTCCCTCCTCGTATCAGACTCCCCGTTCAACTCTCAATCGGAAGTCATGTCCTGCAACTGTGGTGAAACAATCGCAGAAGCCCGCGCGAACGGCTGCGTATACGATTCACTTGCTGCCGCCTGGCTTCCACCACACTGCCGATCTCCTGAGTTGACGGCAGAGTTTGAGTCTCTGGGTCCAAACGAACCCGACACAACGGGCAACACCTGGGGTTACTGGCATGACAAGAACCAGACGCATCCCATGACACTGGAGGAAGTGAGCCAACTACCAGAAGCGGCCCGCCATGGTCAACATGCTCGATTCTTCACCACGCATCAATGGCATCTCGTGCATTGCGTGTTCTACTGGCGCAAGATGTGGGAGGCAGCGCGCTGTTCTCGGGGAGTCGCGGGCGCATCTTGCGGCAAGGACGGCATGCTTGTCATTGAGAAACGCTACGACACTCTCATGCACATCAATCATTGCATGACCATGTTCTTGATGAGAGATCCTCTCGATCACATTGCCGCCGAGGCTGGTGTCGCGCTTCACTCCGACGAGCTTCACATCGCGAAGCCTCATAAACACCAAGATCAGAGTATGATGGCCGAGAAGACAGGCGCGGGGCACAAAATTGAGAGTTCGAGCACATCAAAAGACCCTTACGGCGAGACAAAAGAGAGCCATAAGCATGGACAGGGCGATCCATACGATGGATAAAGTGATGGATTTTGTTGATCGAGAATGGCTCTTATAGAACCTACACCGCATCAAAAACCGAGGAAAATCACGTTTCGCGAATCACCGTGCATTCATTTCAGCATTTCTCTGAATCAAGGTGCATTTAACAGAAGAACACACGCAACAAAGTATTGATCTAGTCCGAGTGTCTTGGCATGCATACTTTCAGAAGGCATCTCCCTGGGGCTGCAACATGGGTGTCGTTTCTTTTTCTCATACCAAAAGGTACACCAAACGAATGGATAGAAAAGTCTCGCCAGCTATCTCGTAAGCTTGTGAGCCTTAAGCCCCACCTGTGGCCATCAATCGATTACGAGGCATCTTACCATTGGGCGGCTGCCTGATACCAGGTTGCCAAGCTGATGTTGAGCTACAATGATGATCTTCCTAGAGAAGACTAGTCCATATGTGCGTAAGATTTGGGGCTGAGAATTCGTCTCCTTTCGCGATTCACTTTCACGTTCTCGCATCGTTACAACTTCATTGCTTCAATGCCCCCATCGCCATGAAGCTCCTCAATTGCTCTAGTCTACAGATCGAGGAGTTCTCGGGATTATCCATCCCTGATTCTTACGCCATCCTTTCCCACCGCTGGGAAGCCGATCATGAAGAGGCTACATATCAAGATTTTGGAAAACCCGACGTGATAGCACGCAAGAAAGGCTGGAAAAAGATTCAGCATTTCTGTCGCCTTGCGCTGCAGCAAGGTTACAAATATGCCTGGGTTGATACTTGTTGCATCAACAAACAGGATTTCACGGAGCTGACGGAAGCCATCAATTCCATGTTCAAGTGGTATGCGCGATCTTCATTCTGCTACGCGTATCTGTCAGATGTGGGAGTTGACGGGGTGTCGCTTCAACAATCCCAGTGGTTCACTCGTGGATGGACTTTGCAGGAGCTCATCGCGCCGTCGCGAGTTGAGTTCTTTGATAAAGACTGGAACTACATTGGAAGTCGAGCCGACCTATGCGACATTATCCAACAGCGCACAAACATTGACAGGAGCATACTTGTGGCTGGAAGCGGGAGAGTGGAGGGCCTTTTGACCACGATACCTGTTGCCAGAAGAATGTCTTGGGCATCTGGGCGCACAACCAAAAGGGAAGAAGATCTGGCGTACTGTCTCTTAGGAGTATTTGGCGTCAAGATGCCGCTCTTGTATGGGGAAGGAAACAGAGCGTTCATCCGACTTCAGGAAGAGATCATTAAGGAGACTAACGACTTGTCCATCTTTGCCTGGTCTGCTCCAACACATTCTCCATTGGGATATTTTGGAATTTTGGCCATGTCTCCATCAGCATTCCAGACAGCAAATGATATCGTTCTCAGCAGCGACATCAAGTACAACCCCGAGGTAGGTCACAACAATGCCCTTGACATTGTAGCCGAATCAAGCCAGTCGTGTAACATTCAAAGAACTGACACCAACTTCTAAAGTACGCCATCACAAATAAAGGTTTGAAAATCACAACCGAAACCAGTCTAATGCCAGACGGCGCACATTTTCTGAGTCTGCGCTGTCACAGATCCAGCGATCCAGGCCGTCGTCACCTCGGAATTCTTCTCAGAGATCAAGGAGGAAACGTCTTCCTCCGCTGGAAGACCGGCCGGCTCTGGAGTTTGGAGCATAGCGCGCCGGGCGTTAACCATACAATGTTCATCAGCAAGTTCCTCGAGCCAGACGTGGCAGAGACGCTCGTCGGGAACATGAACTCCGTCTACCGCAATGCCTTTTGCTTCCCGCCCACGCCGCCAGGGGTGCAGTTTGTCAAAGCCCATCCCGACGGCATGTGGAGCTCGTCCCGACGCATGTTCATCACTCAGGGACTAGACACATTTGACGGATATGTTCAGTACCGGACGTCTGGCGCGGCTGACCAGAACTTTATCGTTGCTTGTGGTTTTACCGGCGGTGGCGCGAATCCATGGGTGTGTCTTGCAGCTAACATAAACGAGACGCAACACATTTTCCAAACTGCAATGGACGGTGATATGATCAAGTTGCGCGAGATTGGCAGCAAGCGTGGGGTTACGAAGACGAAGATTTCGTTTGGTATGAGTAGGCGGGTTGAGGATAGACCGGTGGTGTTAAGCCTAGGAATGGAGACGAGGATGTTAGAAGGGCAGCCTGTGTTTTCCATCTTCGTAGATCAAAGAACTGACTGGGGTGATTTGTGCTCAGTAATGTGAGGCAAGTAGATAGAGCTGGAGAATAAGCCATGGAATAAACACGCGTCAGTCATGTGCTCATGGATGGAGGAAGCCCAACAACTGAGGTTTCCACGTGAGATATTTTCCCTTCATCTGGGCACATAGGCTCTCTTGGGTCCACCTGCGAAGGCTAGGTACTCCGAGTTTCTCAAGACGAAAAAACATTGCCCGACTTATCGTATCGTTGTAGTCTTCCCACAAACCATCTGAATCGCATATTACAGCCTCTCTCACAAAACGGAAACTCGGTCTCGCTGTCTCTGCAAGTTTTCGAAATCAATATTTGTTGCCTACATGAATGCAACTACCTGTAGCCGACGCAAACGTATTGGATCTCATTATCAACAACAACACCACAGACAGGTCACTGTGAAGATACTGCCTCGCTCTGTGAAGCAAGTCGCAGATGAGCCCCACCATTGCCAAAGATTCTGCCCCATAACGACAAGATAGAGCGGGTCTACCTGGATAGACGAGGCCCACGCTAACTGCCCACTTGAGCTCACGATAATCGATAACATCTTCATCGGCCCTCTGGCGCAACGGTAGCGCGTTCGACTCCAGCTTGAGACTTCTCGGGATGTTATCGAAAGGTTATCTGTTCAAATCAGGTGGGGGTCATTTATATCATCGTGATCACACGGCCGTACGACTCAGGACGTTCATGTGTGGGAGCGAGTTTCTTTTGATTTTTGCTCACGCAGACATCTCGTGTCCTACCCAGTTATCTCATGTTCCATCATCATTATTTGTGCAGCTGGAAACGTTATGCTGAGTTTAATCATCTTTCAATGATGCTTTTGTATCACAGGTTTTCGAATGGGAGTATGGTGTTGTGTTTCCTTGTCTGACAATCTCGGCAGATGAGCTCGGCTCGGAGTTCTCATGTTGAGAACGAAAGAGGAAGTCGCTTCGAGCAAGCGACACCCAAATGCTGTCCATGATGAATGTGATGAAGCCAACGGACTAGAAACCCCTCTTACAGAAAACCCGGCGAAAGTTGCTTCAGTTGGAGGGGTCCTTGAGAGCAGAACCGCAACCTTGTTCAACCCAATCCGAGTACACCTCGAGCGGCCCCCATCATGCAGGAACGCAACCGCCTGCACTTCCGCCCCGAGAACAGCCCTGCGGGCAAGGCGCGCCCGCATTAAACTGCCAACTAAAGAAGGGGTCCGTCTCGTTCGTCAAGACCGGACCAAGCAACCTTGTTCGGCGGGGTAAGCCTGAGGACTGCCGGAAGACGTCCCTGGACGTGATTTGGATCTGGCCCCATCCCTCCTCCGTGAGGGTCTCGATGCTCGTGCCAAAGACGTATTCCCTGAAGCCTGCCCAGCGCACCGCCGACGCGCACATGGGGCAGCTCTCGGCGTTGGTGTAGATGGTCAGGTTGGCAAAGGCGGCCAGGGCCTGGGCCGGCGTCATCCGGTATGGACCCTGGGGATCTACAAAGATTGCCGAGCAGTTGTCGATGGCCGCCATCTCCCCTGCTTCATGATCAGCAAACCACCCCTACAGAGAAAAGCTTTGTTGGGTTGTGTGAGGTGAGATTCATACCATGCAGGGTCGGGTTGCCTGTGCCAGCATTGTTGTTCGCGCCGGTGCAGACCAGCTCCCCCAAGCCGCCCGTAGTGTGGTTAACAATCACTGAGCCAAAGGCCGCGAACGGGCATGGGTTGGGTAGGGCCAGGTTGGCCTGGCGCATCCAGTACGCCCGCGTGGTGAAGTTGACCCCGTTGACAATCTTCAGCGGCGGGCAGGTTTCCAAGGCCATGTAACGTTGAAGATCACCATCGCCATGTCCCACGACCGAGGCGACCAGTGACAGGGCTACAAGACCGAGCGTTGCCTTGAACAGGCTCAACGAGAGTGAGAATGCGCGCATCGTGTCGCGCAAAAGAGCTGTGAGGCGAAGCTGCGACGCGGGCTTGTATCCAGATTGGGACAGTTGAACCTTCGGAGAGCTCCTGATCGGAATAGCGAGTTGGAGGTGCAAAGCAGCTGCAGGTGGCGAAACTCGGTCAATGCTTGTGCATAGTTTGTGTGTCGATGTCAAAGCAGACGAACGATGTAGATTCCCACGAGCTGTCTGTAGTAAGGCTATGCAGTACTCGTATCGTGCATTTTCTGCGACATTAGTTGGGCTTTAAGAGAACGGAGGCCGGGTAGTGAAGTCTTCAGCAAGCAGATAGGAATTGAGGCGGAAAGCCATGGCCCTATCTGCTAAGGTTGCAATCATCAATCTGTCCGTGATAAGAAGATTACGATGGATGCGGTCCGTATCTTTGAGTCTTATGGCTTACTTGGGCTGCACGCGACTAAGGTGGCTGACCAGCTGAAAATTTATTGACATGATCGGACCGTTCCGGGCCGCTCCGGGACCACGCCCGGCTGAAATATGGGTCCTTCCGGAAGCATCACCGGGCGGAACAACGAGAGTGAACGAGGAATGATTGTTAAGGCAATCGAGCGACAATTAGTATCTAAGCAAATGGATATCTATAAAACGGACGAAAAATAGCTTTGTTACATGTGACTGCAGCTTTCCCTCCCGCAGAGAGAGCAAAGCTCCTTTTGTGCCACTACCACATCTCTCCCTTTCCTTTCCAGCATCTCAATATCAAGGTTATAGTTCGTCTTTCCAATACCTGATTCCAGGTCATCTTTTGGAATTCCGTAAGGGTTCATGGACCTCCACGAGAGGTCGTACGGCTGAGGATGGCGACGAGGGCTCAAGCACCTTCGGCTTGGATCCACCGTAGGCGTACATGTCCCGGTACCTACGAGATGGCGGCAGATCGTCCTTGGGGGGTACTGGAGGGCCTTTGGGACTAGTGATGTAATCGCGAACGTAATTGTCACTAAATTGAGGCGGGCTGTTACTGCGCCCGAACTTCTGATATCGCCCAGCAGCCTTCGCCGGCTTGTCCACGCTGGCGTTCGAGGACGGACTGCTGCCCTTGGATGGCTTCGGGGTGGTCCACCTCGCGAAGAGCGCAAAGCCGGGGAACTTCTTCTCGACCAAGTTGCGGATCATGGGCGCACAGGCGCACACCACGACGACACCTAGTTCGATTGTCGTCCACCACACAACGGGCGCATAGTCCCACGTCGGGTCGATGGAGTTTCCAAACACTGCGAGAACCTGAAGACGGATAATGGTCGAAACGAAGCCGACAGATCCGAGAAGAAATACCATGGCAACCGAAACCTTCTTGTTCCGATTCATTTGAAGGCCTGGAAGCATCGCAATCGGGAGGGCGAGGATAAGAAGGTCCTGGATGATAGCCAGAGCAGAGTTTGCGTAGGCAAGTTGGTTGACGTCGAGGCAGGCGCCTGTGTGAATGTCCTTGTTCCAGAATAACTCGATCGGGTGACACGAGAAAATTGTAAGAAAGCCGATAACCACCTGGCCGACGATAAGGAACCCGATCAGGGTGTATGCAGCGATGCGGAACTTCGGTACGGTGAAGATTCGAAGACGACGAGGATAGCTTTGCGAATAAGAGCACAAAGACGTACACAATCTCGGCGGCGTACACTGCAAAAGGATTAGGAAGATGGCTTGAGTATGAATGGGATATACGTACAGGTCGCAGAATCTGCAGTAAGCCACCCGGTTTAAGATCGTAAAGGTGCTTCCCAAATCCTAAGCTTGACACTGTTCATAGTCAGTCACGCATCCAAGCCGGTCGCAAGACAAAAGAAACTTACTCAACAGAATTGCAGATACAGGGCAATCGCAATTACAATCGCCGCAATAATTAACGCATCGTCGAGACTCCACGTCTTTGCCATGTTTTTGGCAAGAAGCCGCAAGACAATCGCAATGACAGCCGTGACATAGACGGTGATTAGAATGGCAAGAATTTTGCCGGTATCGGATTCGTGATTGCACTGCGTTTGTTGCAGTTTCGCGACATCTTGTTGCCTCGTCAGTCTTCCCATCTTTCTACACCATCATCACGACTCTGGAAGTACTCACCCAGGGAGTCTTGCATGGTGCAGTTTGCAATCAAGCAAGGTCCGACGAGCTGACCCAGACCGGTGCTCGCACAGGAGCAAGTTGTGTTCGTGAGGCGCACCCCTGCCCGATACCCTGTACGAGGCAGTTCAACTGGGCACCAGAGTGTTAGCCAAAGTGGGTTCCATTTCGGAAGAGCAACCGAGCGAAAGGAGGCTCCCAACTCCAAATCGAACTTACACCACATGTTGATATATTGCTCAGATCAGGCAGCTGTTGCCTCGCAATCAAATGCACGTGTTCTCCAGCGAAATACTCTTCCCCAGCTGTTGCTACGGCGCCGACAATTGACAGAGCAAATGTGATCCATAGCAGACCGAGGGAGGCCGCTGACGATGTTGATAGTCGCATATCGAAAGTCCGAAACGAAGTATCAGCTGCTTTCCTTTTTTTTTCTGCCCTCGGCTTTTCACAGCTCCATATAGCTATGGTCGTCTATCACGAGCTGTATGTGTCCGAATCGACGTAGTTTTTTCGGTACCTGGGGAGGCAAGGAGCCAAGGTCGCCAAGTCGTCGCAGCGAGCGCGCACGTAACTCGAAGAATTACCCGAGAACGAGCGTTGGAAAAGAGAAATCCAACAACCCCTTGTCTTTGTTAGATGTTCGAAGTTCGGTGGTAGTGGAGACGACGTTGGAGATGCATCACAAGCGAGGTGGGAGGAAACAACGTTATCAACCTTCCACCCCAGGGGACCCGTTCGTTGCGTTTGCCCCATGGATCTTGACACATCAAGGATAACTGGTCTTTGCTTCAGATGCAAAAGAATGATCACACTCCGGGAAAAAGACGTCAAAGGGGGGCTCCGGGGCGGACAAAGCTCCCTCCCTGCTGTCTTGCCCCCCTCACTTTCCTGCTGCTGCAGTGCTGCAAGAGCACCCTCCCGTCCAAGTGTTGCGAGGTTTTGTGGATGGGATGGAAATGGTCGCGGAAGCGGTGTGTGAGGGTGTGCGCTATGCTCTGTGCGCTTACGAGCTGATTGGCCGTGTTTCTGACTTTCTGTCGATGTCCTCCCTCCATCACCTCCTAGCCTTGAGTAGCCTCTTCTACTCCGCGCCTAAGACTATACGAATATGCTATTCCAAGCTCAATGAGCAGAAGATCTACCCAGACACTATGTATCGCGGTCATGAGGAGCTCCCCTGTCACATACCTACCGGCATAAGCATATGTATGGGCTCGACTTGGCAAGCGTCCCCCAGCAACTCTCGGCCTTTGAACCCGCGCCGCTGCATCACCAGTGGGAAGATCTTAGGCAGATTCAAGCAGCCATGGTGTCGGTTGTCACGTTTCACGGGACTAGGTCTGCAGGTCCATCCCGCCATTATCTCGCCAACCATTTAGCCGAGCAGGAGACGGCCCATCAAAGCGATCAGTGCGTCTTCCCTCATTCTGTCTTCATCCTCCTCTTTTGTCTTTGATTACTCTCTCGCTCCGTCATCAATGTGACTACCCTTGACAAGCTGCAGGAACGCAGGGCCACAGAGTCCGTGTTATTGGAGGGCAGAAGGAAACGAAAAACGACCGTTCAGGTTCTAGCTGATAGTCCATGCTGCTAGTGCTCCGGGCACCGAGTGGCTCGGCCCAATGGCCCCCCGCCACTTCGCGACCCTTGTCCCTAACCGGCTGCTGCTCCGGGATGTACGCTGTGATGTTTCACACAGCTCGAGTGTTTCGAAGCCGCCTTCGAGAAGGGCTGGTCCAACATACACAGCGCCTTCTCATTCGTTCCATTCAGCCACATTTGTTGCAGAAAAAGCTGCTGCGTGAGGAAATGAGGGGAAAGTGTTTGGTCTGTGGTTCAGTGGTTGTCCCGTTTGAGTCTAAGCAGCCAAACTCTATTTAGACTCCGCCCATTCCTCTTTCACTCCCGCCCTTTTCTCCGTGCTCCTCACTGTCTGTTCTCGAACTCTATGGATCTCTTTCGCCCTCTCAGATGTCCTTTCTGACGAGCATGTTGGGCCTAAGGTGATCTCAACGTCTGCGCCTAGCTTGGTGTATGTAGGTACTGGTCTATCTACCTACCTTTCCTATTCGAAACTTGATTGACAGCGGACAAGCGATTAGCCCAATCCCCCCCGCCACGGCAGATGCTGGCTACCCGCAAAACTGATTCACGTGTATCTTTTCTACTAGGCACTGATTATCAGGAATCCAGTCAGTTTTAATCTGGATAGGAGCTAATTTGACTCATCTGTGGCAAACGAGTTAGCAGTACACACCATCAGCAGAAGACCAGGCAAAGACCAGCAAAAGCTTCTCAGTGTACTTGGCCCTCCATCTCGTTTTCTTTGTTTCTTCTAGAACCAAAGCTTTACACCACCACCTTCAAACCCATTGCGACCAGTCTGATCTGATCCTCTGAACAAGACACATCCGCCCTCTCGAGTCTCCCGCCAGTAAGTGGGAGACAATCTGTATCAAGCACTCTCTTGAGCCGAAGATTTGAATCTTCTCGGAGGGACTACTAATCGGTATACATCTCCGTTCGGGCGAGATGCGTTCCGCTGCGGGTGATGTGACAGAATCTCGAGCGCGAAAAAATCAGGCGAAATCTCTCAACGGTTGTCAAAAAGCATGATGTGCTTTTTGTACGTCGAAACGATCATATGTAGCATTGGCAGCTGTGTGACGTGAGATCCAATCTGTGATTCTATTATGTGCAGGTAAGATATGGATTTTTTCTGCCCTCCTGCATTCTTCGGCCCTTGGAATTGCTGCCCTTCTCCTTGCACTCTGTTTGGGCGCAGTGCAAGTCAAGTCATCTTGAAGCTAGACGAGCAGTCTCAAGCTCGTAAAGCCGAAAAGAGTAGTCCATCATCGTACGAGAGTTATTCTGTTCAGTAATTTTGCCTGCCGGAAGGTAAGTGGCCCTGCGGTAAAATCAGTGAAGCAAAAGCATAACGCAGCCTGGCAGACCAGCCGTCGCGGTCTAGGCTTGCAAGAGAGATCGGACTTCGTCCCGCCCGGGTTGTTCCCTCGATTGCTGGCCACCATCTCGATGGTGAAGATCTGTGCGTAAGGTTCAAGATCACTCTGAGTAACAAGGACATCCTTTTTGCTGTTAATCCTCGGATTAACTGAGCATGGAAGGAGGCTTTGGGTGACATCCAGTCACATCATGAACCTTCATGCCCCTGGGGATAATATGCCTTACCCAGGTTTTCCACGCCTGGTCATGTTCCTTGAGGAGGTGATTGATGAGGATTCCCGGACGCCAGATACTGTCACTTAGGTGAGATAACGGCCACTCAAGCCATCCTCGAACCACACTCCAGGGGCTGTACAGCCACATCTTGTAAAACATTTAGTCTTTTCCCAATGTCTCCAAGGGACATGGGTCCTTGCGTTGACAACTCAAAGTGAGGTGATATTCAAAAGTAACTTATAACGCTAATATCATGGGATTGGTTAAACTTCCCGGAATGCCTTGATGACTAACAGCCATGTTCATACAGCCACATCAAAGTCGGCTACCACCCTCCTGTCAAGCCTGCGCAGCCTTCATGGCAGCGATACGGTGCTTGGTCCGCTCAACCACATTCTTCTCGTCGTAGATACCGTTGACGCTAGGCGTGCTGTTGACGGTCTGCGCCCACTTGTAGAAGCTAGGCGCCTTCTCCTCCAGCGACGTCAGGATACTCTTGGGAATGAGCTCGTAGTTTGCAAACGAGAAGAGCCTCAGCGTGAATGAACCCGTAAGGACCTCGGCCAAGGTAACCTTGTCACTGCCCCCAAAGTACGGCTTTGCATCCTTCAACAGCGGCTCAACCTCCTTGGCGATGACATCGATGAACCCAGCCGCAACCTCGTTCGCCTCTGCTTCGGACTTTGCGAGCTGCAGCTTGTACAGCGACGAGTTAGCCTTGCTGAAGTAGGTGTCGACGAAGAAGTTGATGCGCGCGCGGCGGAGGGCGGCGTCCTTGCTACCGGCGGCGGGGACGAGGTGGGACGGGTGGGCGTCGGCCAGGAACTGGCTGACGATGGCGGACTCTGTGATGATTTCGCCGTCGTAGGAGAGGGAGGGGACAAGGCCGCGTGGGTTGATGGCCAGGTACTCCTTTGTGCGGGGCACCGAGAGGTCGATAATTTCTTCCTCAAAGGGGAGGCCCAGCTCTGCGAGGGCGATGTGTGCACGGTGAGCCCCTGATATTTTGAGGTTAGCTATTGTGGTGCATATCTAGTTCCTTTGTCTTGAGATAGGCGAATCTTAGTTATTTTGGAGGGTGATGCAGTGGTTTGAGTCGTGAGACTTCATGAGGGGCTGGCAGTCTGCCTTCATGCTTAATTCTGCACGTGGCTCTCTGGGGTAGGAGGTTACGCGGAGAGAGGAAGAGGGGTTGAATACGAAGAGACGGAAAGGGAAAACGAGGATGAGGCTAGGAATGAATGTCACGTACATGGGCAGCCGTGGTTGGTGTACAACTTGATCTTGGGCGCGGCGGAAGACATTGTCAGGATTCCGTTTCTAAATTGTCGATGATTTGGAAAGCTGCTAATTGTGTTGTTTGTCGGGAATTTGAGACTTGGTGTCTTGGCTTTCGAATTGAAGAGCTGCGGACTGACTGGCGATGGTGAGGTTGGTGCGTATTTGAAGGAATCGAGTGTTGCTAATTGATTACCAATGCAACAGTAGCAACACAATGAGGTCGGAAAGTTGCACCATTGAAAGACCGATGTCGTGATGCAACTTGTTCCCTCACACTCAAGAGAGGAGGGGGGAACAACCCCGCTCACTCGATTGCTTGGCTCCAGTCCCCTTCTCTGAGCTCCCGGCGGAGTTTACGGGGGAAGCAGACAAACATGGTACACCCAGCTTAGAAATCAAGGGTCGGTGCTCGGCACGGATTTCACATCCGCACATCTCTTCTCCCCGCTTCTTCTCAGAGAGCCTCTCTTTGCCTTTGCAATCATGCATTCACTAGTTAGATTCTGCAGTAAGAGTGAGTGCAGTAGGATATGTCCGACTGGCAGATACAGATAAGAATGGCCCTCTTGCAGATGCTGGTTCTATGTATTTCAGTACTGTACCTATCATAAATGATGATATCATCTACCGTATCAGAGCATCAAAACTCCACCTCCCGATGCAACGCAGACGAACCTCGTCTGCCCGTCCCCATGTAGGTCCATCTGGAGGTATCCGTGCGTCCGGAAACCGACATGAAGACCCTGAAGGAATTCCGATTCCGATTCCTAGGGCTGAGACAAGGAGAGGTGGGGAGGTCTCTTCCGCTACGACTAGGACAAGATCAACTCGAGAATCCAGCATGACTACCGGTACTCAAAGTCCGAGACCGTCGAGTTCCTTGGCGAGACGGTACTCAAAGTCCGAGACCGTCGAGTTCCTTGGCGAGAATGAGCGAATAGTTGGGAGTCTGCAAGCGGACCATGGGAAGGGACTATGATGGTCTAGATGCGTGCTGTCGAGCTCGGCAATTGATCGAAACAGCTCATGCCTGCCAATACATCTTCCTTGCGTATCCATACGCAGACCGCTGGATCGTCCAGTGACGGGAACCTGGATCGTGGTCCCGGGACTGTGTTCCGGAGCATCCGAGAAAGGGCGACATTGAACGGATTGCGAACGATGCGTCCCTGTAACACTCGATCGTCGCCAAGAGATATCATTTGCATTTCGTGCAGGCAACATGAGTTCGTTCGATGCATCGCCATCCCTCCAACAAAGTAACAATCGAGAGAAGTAAACTTCTATCAATTTCCTCTAAGGAGACAGTGACCTGCAGACTTGGCAACAACGGCTGTCTGGCATTTCTATCGCTCATTAAACAGGTTACAAAACTCTAACTAATATTGTCCTGGATGACATTCTTCATAAGCTCGTGGTTGTGGGAGTAGTCAATCTCAACGTCGACAATGCAGACCTGATAACTCAAAGCCTCCTTCATGACGGCTTCCAGTTCCGACGATCGATTGACGCGCAATCCCTGGCACCAAACGCCTCGGCATACTTGACAAAGTCGACCCCGCCCAAGTCGACGCCTGAACTGCGGCCGTACTTGTCGACTTCCTGAAACTCCACCATGTTATACTTTCCATCGTTCCAGATGAAGTGCGTGATGTTGCACCCCTGCTTCACGGCAGTCACTAGCTCCTGCCCGCTGAAGAGGAAGCCGCCGTCGCCACTGATGCTTACGACCTTCTTGGAGCAAGGCGGCTCCTGGGCTAGAGAGGCGCCGATGGCCCATGGGAGAGCCACGCCGAGAGTTTGCTGAACGTTGGAGACGAGGAAAGACTTGGGGCTGTATGCGAAGTAGAACCGCGAGAGCCAGATGTACATGCTGCCGACGTCCGATGCCAAAGTCGTCGACGCGGGCAATAGACCCTGAATGAGCTTGATAAAGTAGAGCGGGTGCACAGGACCGTCGCCAGTCTGGCCCAGAGCTTGGGGGCTCTGTTCCCAAGCGTGGAACTCTGTGAAGATGGACTTCGCTATCTCGGACTCCTGTGGGCGGGAGACGTTTGCCAGAATGTCGCCTAGCGCCTTGACGTTGGCGGCGATGGCGCCTACGAGTTCCAGCTTTGGGTTGTAGAAAGCGCCGTAGTCGGCGGGGATCCAGTCCAGATGCAAGATCTCGAGGCTCTGGCTCTTGTGCCACGCGTCGGCGTCATACTCGGACTGATCGTAGCCCGCGACGATGACGAGATCGGCCTGGGAAAGAAGCTTGTCGCCGGGTTGGTTGCGGAAGAGGCCGATGCGGCCGTAGAAGAGATGAGCGAGCTCCTGGCTGATAGAGCCTGCAGCCTGGAATGTTTCGACGACGGGGATGGGGTGCTTGCGGAGGAAACCGTGCTGGTGTTGCTGCCCTCGATCCGAGGAACAGAACTGGGAATTTTGCGTTTTGGATCATAGCCGCCGCTCTGCTCAGTGACGCTGACGGTGATGTGCCATATTGGGGCGGTGTGAAGGCGCTCGGGGGCAGCGCAGGGATTGACGTCTTGGTTCCGACTGTCATGATATCTATCGGTAGGCTGATAGCTGTTGCACCCTGCGGGTATGCGGTCGCGGTTCTGAAGGCATCGAGCATAATCTCTGAGATCTGATCCGGGTGCACGGCGCCGGTGGTCTTCTTGGTGACGGGCTCGAGAAGCTGCACTCCTCTCAAGCTCTGATGTGTCTTCTTGGCTGCTTGCACTCGCTTGACGTCGCCGACAATGGCAACAACGGGTGCACCCTCGTCGTTGGCGGTTACGAGGCCGGTGACAAGGTTGCTAGTTCCCGGGCCGGAGGTAGCGATGCACACGCCGGGTCGGCCTGTGATACGGCCGATCGCTCCGGCGATGAAGGCGGCATTCTGCTCGTGGCGGCAAACAACCAGCTGGATCTCGGGGCGGTCAATCAGGGCATTGAAGACGCTATCGATCTTGGCACCCGGAACACCAAAGATGTGCCTGACGCCGGCGGCGACAAGAGAGTCGATCACCACATCTACTGTTTCTGAAGACATTGAGTGATCGTGAGCGTATTTGAGCGTGGTATCGAGTCAATGCAGAGAGCACGATTCTGATTAACTCCTGGTTAGGATGAAAAGAAGTGAAGCATTAGGTGTGTCTGATCTTGTCGGTATAGCTGGGCAAGGAATGCTGAGGGTATAAGGTAGCCCGTTTGTCAAAGGCCCTACGAGAATGAGAAAGATCAAGTGGTCATGAGCAAAAGCAAGAACTTCAGCTTCACGTTCGCGATCACGATATCGGCGAGAGGCGGAGATGGAGAGAGCAAAGGTGGAGATTGATATGCCGCAAAGTTCCCTAGCGCTTGGCCGTCAATCGGTGAGATCTGAGTTGTTGAGGAGCAAGAGGCACCAGAGTTCAAAGACCGAAAGAGCGAGGCGGTGATGTGGCCGGTGATGCCGTGCGACTGACGTCAGCGCCCTCCTCGGGACAGTGGGACCCAAAGCGGCGCCTTCCATTCTCCATTTCACTGTGATGGACCTTGATGACTCAACCATTAACGCCAGGAAAGAGCCACACATTCGCAGCTTCCGTTCGCTGAAACTTAGGAAGGTCCCGCCTGCGCTTGTCCCGGAGCCGCCTTCCGTGGCCTCCCGACACCTCCGATCCGGTGGACGGAGGGCAGGTGCGTGGGCAGGTGTACTCCTTCTGCAGTAAGCAGTCAGCAACAGCGGGCCGCTTTCGTGGCCAAACTCAACAGAACCCCAAACCTTCACTCACCACCTACTACCTCGTTCAACGTCTCGCTTTCCGTGACCACCTCTTCTCATTTGGCAACTGCAGCTTATTTCAGTCCTAATTCCGATACCCTAGACCTCGATTCCACGCTTGGCAACAACGAGAATACCAGTAAACCACATCAGACACCATGGCGGTCAACGAGATATTCCAGTACTCCATCATCTCGGCCTTGATGGACGGCGTCGCCTCCAAGGGCCTACCGGTATCAGACCTCATCTCCCACGGAAACCAAGGCCTGGGAACATTCCGCTACATGGTCGGCGAGATGATCATCCTCGACGGAAAGCTCTACCAAATGAAGTCAGATAACACCGTGACCCCAATCGACACGAGCCCGGCCTCCGATGCTGTCGCCCCATTCGCCATGGTCACCCGCTTCCAGCCCACAGCAACAATCAAGCGTCAGTTCAACAAGAAGGAGCTCTTTGAGCACCTTTCACAAGACTTTCCTGACTCGAAAAACTTCTTCCTCGCCATCAGGATTGAGGGTGTCTTCAAGGGTATTACGGTGCGGACTGCCGGCGGCCAGAGTAGGCCCGGCGAGAGCCTGACTGAGGTCGGCAAGCACCAGGCGTCGCACACCTTTGAGGAGCCGGTGCGGGGTACTGTCGTCGGCTTCAGGTCACCAGAGTATACTATGGGCATCAGCGTCGCCGGCGATCATCTTCACTTCATTACCGAGGACCGAACTCAGGGTGGGCATATCCTGTCTTTTGGTACGGACGGCGAGGTCAAGATTGGTGCCGCGCAAATTTCAAAGTGGCACGTCGAGCTGCCGACGAATGATCCAGAGTTCAACAAGGCTGCACTGGAGGGCGATAAGGAGGGTATCGCTGCCGTGGAGGGCTAGCAGCAGCCGTGGAGCAGTATAGAAACATTCGATAATAATCCCATGATTGATAACGTCGTACCAATATCATGGACATTTTCGACGTGGTTGCAATGCGAGGGGAGAGAAGAGAGAAGATACACAAAACTGAACTCCGATTGGATTGGCATTCGATCATGGTCCACTTGTGAGAGTCCTCCGAAGCAGAACAGCCTAACCAATCTGGCAAGCGTGACGGCCGTACCTGGCTGCGAGTTGCTCATGGATGCAGACTCACTAATAATTTCTTATCTATCGTCGCGGTAGTTATATCGTTCAAGTGGGCGATGTTAAAGTTTCTTCGGAAGGCCAGAGCATCAAGATCACGACAAGTCACTGTGAAGATCGAGCAGTAAAATTGAAAATGACATATTAATTCATGTTCGAAGAAGGCAAATCCTTCTACAGTACAATATACAGGTGTCAACAACGGAATGACCGTGATGACAATGTGTGCCACAAATGCAAATGTTCGCCATTCTATGGATATACCCGGGTAGTCCCAATGCCTTTATACCGATGCCAATTTGATGAGAAATGTGTGAAAGATGAAGAGATCAAACGCCAAGCAACCGCTTAGGAAGTGTAGCTGCAGCTGTTGGGGTCGGTGATCTGGACAGCGCGGACAGCAATGCCGAGGCAGTCGGTGTTGCCGGCAGGGTTGGCGACACCGGAAGAGATCCAGACGGACCAGCTGTCCTCGATGCTGTTGGGGCAGGCCAGGAAGCTGGCGCCGTCGAGGGTGAGGTCGCCGTACTGGTCAACCTTCCATCCAGTGCGCTCGCCGTTGCGGGGCGCGGGCTGGGCGCCGGTGGTGTAGCCGAGCTTGCCCTGACCCATGCCGGAGCGGTCGGCGAGAGCTGCTGAGGGGTGGCGGAGGCGGCGTAGAGGTAGAGCCGCCGTCGTCCTGGTTCAGGTAGAAGGTCGCTGAGTCGTCGTCCTCAGTGCTGTCGCAGGTGGCGTTCTGGTTGGGCAGCTGGAGGAAGATGGAGCTCTTGGCGGCCTGGAAGGTCGAGAAGTGAACCTCGCTGGCGGAGCGGAGGGCCATGAGCTGGAACTTTGCGTCGGCGGGCAGGCCGGGGGCGGTGCCGTTTGTGGTGCCGTTGTTCTGGCGGGTGATGAGCTGGGGGACCGCGGCGCCGGAGACGGCGGCGATGAGGGAGGTCGCAACGGCGAGGGTGTTGGTGAACTGCATTTTGATGGTTGTTGTGTTTGAAGTGACTGTGGGTGTAAAGACTGATGTGGTCGGATGATTACTTTGAGATTAAGATTGTTGGTTGTTGAGTGTGATGAGATGAATGTTCTGAAAGGTATTAGAGAGGGGGATCTGTCGGTCGTCTTATATCTCGGGTTGACCATCACAAAATGCTGGTTGCTGCAGTGCCACCAGAAAGCTCTAGGAGTCCAGGGACCTTTCGATGATCATCTCGTAATCACGGGGTGCAGAAAGCGAGGTCGCGTTGGTTGCGCCAATCCAACCAGTGCCCAAAGTTGAGTGTGTGCACTGCCGGGGCGAAGATCTTCTCGTAATGCCGGCCAGGGATACCTGCGGAGCCCGATTGACATCATGAGCCCTGCCTCCTGTGGTTTGCAGTGGAGTCGCGGACAAATACGAGAGGAGCCGCCTCGCAAGGGGAGGCGAGGGTGAGTGACATGGCATGGCATGGCATGGTACCCTTCGGAGAGACTTGGCGATGCGGCATCCCGCCTCCTAGCGCTGCCGTCTGCGCCGCCCGCGAAACCCGTTGCCTCTGCCCCGAGATTTTGGTTGACCTTCGCACCTCGGTCTCTGCACGTTTACTAACAAAGTGTGCGTGTGGATGGAGAAAGTTGAAAGCGCCACAACCGGCGGCCTCGGGAGGACGGAGCCGGCCAAGGAGAAGGTGAGGATGCCGATTGGTTCGGTTCTCTATTTAGCACAGCCATTGTCATGGATGATGGATGAACCGGTGGTCCCTATTCGACACAGGAACAGAAAGATGGGAAACAAGAAGAGAGAAGAAAAGAGGCAGAGCTGAGAGCGAGAGGCTGGCGGTGGCTGGTCCTGCTGAATCGCTCACAAACTCAACCACAAAGCTGCGCCCCCCAGCCACCATATGGTGCCAGGCCAATATCGGTCGTGTTATGCTGTTACCAGCACATACCACCTGGTGCCTTAACATAGGGCAGAGGTGGGCAGTGATGTCACAAACAAACGACCGGCTGCCCCACGTCCCCTATTTTCAGACATTTTAGGCATTTTAGACAGGAGCCGTCTCTTTGGGACTCGTCTTGGCTTTCCTCATGGCGACATGGCCGATGAGCTGCAAGGAGTCTAACTCCCCGGGAGGCAAACGGCTAGACGATATGGGTCAAGGGCCGTAACGTAGCATGTAACTCTTGCTCAAGGCAGAGCCTCCGGGGCTAGGAAGCGACGACCGATGAACACATTTTACATAAACGAAACGGCCAATAAGCCGGAGAAGAAAGAGAGAGGCGACAAAAAATCCAAGAGTCAAAGACGCTAAAAAGTCGGTCACTTGCTCCCAGTCAAGGGTCCATCAAAGTGAAACTGACGCCAGCCCAGCGTCGCTCTCGATAACGCCGATGAACCTTAACCTATTAATAGCCGAGTCAAGGGCTGGTAAAAGCCAGGTCGATCCGCTAAAATCTCTTTGGGTGCTTGGTATGCTTTTCCGGAGAATATTCCACAGCTTCTCCCAGCAGCTGCTGCGTCAAGCGCTTGGCAGACGCTTAGCTCGGGGGGCGAATTCGCAGTGACTCGTGCGCTTGCTAGAGGAAAACACGGTCCATCGTCATTGGGATTCTTTCCATGGCGTTGGGCGAAACATTGGCAGAGACAAACAACGAGCATGTCTGTAAGTAAGACATTCTCGGTGCAACTCGACCCTGACGGTGCCCGAACTGCTTGTTGGAGAGAGGCCTTCTAGTCCGATTCATGGGTCATTGTAATGGCCTGATGGGAAATCCATCGAAATGGCTCAAGGGCCGTGTTCGGACGATCTGCTGCCCCAGAAGCTTTCAAGTTGGGACGAGACGTGGAGACGTGGTTCCCACCTTTATCCCGCATTTACCCAGTTATTCCAACCTGGAGGTGTATTTTTATTTCTTTTCCCACCCCTGAGCCCCGGAAACTTGACAAGCGAAGCATTCGAGCCATATTGAGAACATGGGAGACTATTCTAGAACGGCGCAACGGCATGGTGAATGACCGAAGATTGTGTTCATCGACTCTTGACGGGGTCGTATTCATCCGATGGTTGTTTTCCTGTTCCCGCGGGCAGCGATCTACCAGTCTCTAAGGACATGGTCATGATTAGTGCATGTGGATGATCAACGTCGAGCTCCAACAGCGTCTCCAAAAATATCCAAGCTTAACAGCACAGTGTATCGATCGCCAATCCAAATTGACCAACGCAAAAGAGTCAAGCAGTTTATTTAAATTCGCGCATGATTGGGCGATCATTTCTCGTGAAGGTAATGCTCGGCCGAAGAGAAGTTTCACAGGCTGCATGCAGCCCGCTGCCCAGTCGAGAGATAGGGATAGACACGGGGTAGGCAGAAGAAAATATGGTTGGGTGCAGATGCCAAAGAATAAAGCGACCGGACCGCCAACCTCGAGAGCACAACTTGACTCAATCATGTGGACTCAATCGATTTTGGGTAGTTAATTGATGTTGCGATCATCCCGTCTGGTCTATCATGATTGTGTTATCAGACTTCGTGGTGGAAGTTTCCTCAAGGTTTTCTGACCATATCGGTGTGGACCTTCTTCGTCCCGGTCTGACTTTTCTAGAAATTGTGATAAACAGTCTACCGAGATGAAAGCAAAAACGTAATCGGAAAAGCACACCGTCTTCTCGGGACGTTAAGAAAGGTGCGGTTCTATTAAGGTGAATATATCCCGATAGAACTCGTCTTGTCTGTCGTTCGCTTGCAGTGAGTGAGAAATAGATGTGAAAAAGAAATTCAAAGGCAGCGCGCGTTAGACCCATGCAGCGACATACTCTATTGCTTCATGCGCTTCGACAGAACACAAGCATTATACCCGTGAACATGATGGTTGTCATGCTCTCTTTTTCAGACCCCTAACCCGCGGTGCCGCATGCCGGCATAACCTGAGCGGGAAAAGCGTCCGAAGCCTGGAGCATCCAACGCACCTCTCCTTCGGTTGATGAAACTGATCCACCCCCGTATTGCGCTGCAGATAGCCCTTGCGAGTAGAGACGGGATTACCGATGTCCTGCTCGCTTATAGATTCTCACAACAGGCTTGCTGTCTGAATCTTCTCTGGGCTCTGGCCTGTCAGCTTCAAGCTCCTACGAGATAGACGCGAGAAGCCCTCCAGGAGCAAGGAATCTGACTATAGACACGATGATCGACACTACTTCGTTATTGAGCCTCATACAGATTTCTTTTCGTGTTCAAGAGACGGCGTCAACGGCCCGAGGTACGAAGCCTCATCGCGTAGACGTAACGTACAGATGCAACGACCCTTCGTCTTCCACTCGATCTCGCTATCTCTCAGCTGGAACACCTTTTCTTTGGCATGCTAGATCTCGATTATCTCGATTACTGCATTCTACTTGCAAGCCATTTGATCATAGTTGCAAAAATCGCATGAGTCTCACTTTCACACTCAACTCGACAGTCACTAATGGAGACTTTGCTTTTACGTCGCAAATCATCCCGCGCTCTGAGTATCTCAGACGTAAAGGGAGTTACGCTAGACTTCTTCAAGATCTGTGCTATGTTCATGCAAGCTCTATGTTTCTGGTAGGTTCTTCCGAATGGAATGATTTCTCCTGAGATTCTTCAACCATCATGATGATGCATACGTTGCTACAACGAGGATTTCCCATTTCATTGTCGTACTGAGAAACACGTAGCAACAATAGTACGTCAATCCGACTCAGTCCTCTCTTCGTTGTTTCTCAATCAATTGACTTTGACGTGAAATGCCTCAAGAGACAGTTGACATGATATAAACTAGTACCCCCACGCGATTGATTAACCTTGATCGCAAGCTCAAATCCAGCTTACGGTCTTAGCCTTTCTTCAAGGCAACGAAAGACCTCTTTTCCATTCCTCTACAAGGTGCACTCAGCTCTGAACCTCGGGGTAAACCGTTTTTCTTTCACACGAACACAAACACCAGAAGCGTGGTTTCTTATACAAGAACTTACAGCTCGATGAGTAAACTCACCATCATTCTAGCATAGTCTAAGTCACTGCAGCGCATGTTGAAAGGCCCTCTCGATTATTTCCAAGCAGCCCAATGTGTCAAGTGTTGGTATAGAGCCAAACCAACAGGTCACAACGTGTCTTTCACCTTGAGAGCGCATTCATCCAGAGTCTAATCGCTTCCTCAAGATTCACTTAAGCTCCAAGGTCGAGTTGATATCGCAGTCCACGAGCGAATGCTTCTGGCGTGTAAATCATCTCGACTTGCTTGACGAGGAAGTTGACAAGCACCTCCACACCTCAGAGTCCTGACTGGAATCAGGGCAGAAAGAGAGCCACAATGTCACACTAGTTCCAAATCCGCGGTGGAAGACAGAAGCATTCTCATGGGCAGCGGTGACCCATTCACAGAAACATCAAGTCGGCAGGACGCTACATATACCGAGGCTAACCGGCCGGAACGCTTGAACAATAAGATGAGCTCGGAAAGGCTGTTATGTAAGTCTTGAACTAATACAGGTAGCTCTGTGACCTGAGCCTCGGCTTAGTTTGCGGGGAAGTGTGCTATTTGGCGGGGTTTGTTCACGCTTGGTGGCTTGAGGAGCTAAGCTTTTGGGGAAAGCTGACACCTCTCTAAGGCCAACCAGCGTCTGGAATGATGGGGATTCGTCGGGGTGATTTCTCAACTATCTTTGAGTTTGATCACTCATAGCTCCTGACCTATTGTTACGCACCTAGATATCATTGTAGATAACGAGGTGTCTGTCTGATGCAGATGTGGAGGTGCTACACTCAGCATAGCATTGTAGATGGGAATGCTTTGCCGAGACATGCAAGTCATCTGTACATGCACTACCTTTAGGGCCCACAAATCTCGCTATGACATAGTTCTCGACTTGAGATGAGGGGAAAACCAAGGGGCTTTGAGGAGGGAAGCTTGATCAAGTCTCAGTGCATGTGGATATGAGGGGTCAAGCTTACCTGTGTAATTCATCCTTCCATCACCTTCATAGACATTTCCTCTGGCCCCCAAAGCACCCTCAACATGACTCAAGATCGCAAACCTCCAACTGTCAAGCTCGCAGAGTATCTCTTCACTCGCTTACACCAGCTCGGCATAGGTGCCATCCACGGTGTTCCGGGAGACTTCAACCTCTCGCTGCTCGACTATGTCGAACCCGCAGGGTTACTTTGGGTCGGCAACGCCAACGAGCTAAATGCAGGATACGCCGCCGATGGATATGCTCGTCTCGTATCAAGGGAGTCAGCCCTCATCACGACATCCGGCGTTGGCGAGCTCAGCCATCAATGCTGTCGCTGGAGCGTATGCTGAACGCGCAGCCGTGGTTCACATCGTCGGCACGCCCTCTAGGGTCCTACAGGATAGCAGGACCTTGATGCACCACGGCTTCAATGATGGGAACTACAGACGGTTCGCGGAGATGCATTCGCATGTCACCGTTGCGCAGGCGAATCTCAGAGATGCATCGTCGGCACCGCGTCAAATTGACGAGGTACTGAGGCAGTGCCTGACCCAAAGCCGTCCAGTCTACATTGAAATTCCTCAGGACCTAGTTGTCGTTCCTGTTTCGACCGACGGGCTGGATACCGATTCATTTGCCCGATGCCGTGCCAACAGCAGCCGACGAGACTGCTCTGGGGGCAATAATACACAAGATCAATGCTGCAAAGTCCAATGATTCTCGTTGATGGAGAAACGAGGCCGTTGTATTATCGAGCAGACCGAGGAACTGGTGAAAGCCACGGATGGCCTACTTGGACTACTGCTTTCAGCAAGTCACTGGTCGACGAGAGTCTGCCAAATTACCACGGTATCTACTCGGGCAGATTTGCCGATCCCGCCGTCAAGACGTTCGTTGAGAAGGCGGACTTGATCTTGTGCTTCGGTCCTCACTTCAGCTCGACGAACACTTATGCTTTCTCAAGCATACCCAAGCCAGATGTGACAATCCTCTTTAGCGCCAACATCAAGATAGCGGACCAAACATTTCGCGATGTCTCCGTCAGAGCTGTAGTCAGGTCGCTTATCGAAAGACTTGAAAAGTCCAAGGTTCATCAATACGCTCCTTACCCAGAACTTCCCAGAGACCACGGCATAGAATTTTCGGAGGTGGCAAGCGAGGAAAAGATCACCCAGTCCAAGTTCTGGCATCTCACGTCCAGTTTCGTACGTCCAGGCGACATCATCTTCGGGGAGACAGGAACGGCCGGTCATGGATCTCGAGTCTTTGCCCTACCGGCCCATACTAGAATGTTCCTCCCGACAACCTGGCTTTCCATCGGATACATGCTGCCTGCTGCGCAGGGCGCTGCCTTGGCGCAGCGAGAACTCATCCAGTCATCCAAATACCACGACATCAAGGAAGCACGTACAATTCTGTTCATCGGCGATGGAAGCTTCCAGATGACCGTTCAGGAGATCTCTACCATGATACGCCACAAGCTTGACGTGATCATCGTCCTTCTTAACAATGACGGGTACACCATTGAGCGATACATGCATGGTTGCATCAGTCCTACAACGACGTTGCCCGCTGGCGCTACTTGCAGGCGCCGGGTTTCTTCGGAGGCGATCCAGAGACGTATACAGGCTCCGCAAAGACCTGGGGTGAGCTAGAAAGTGTTGACGGATGATCAGCTGAAGGACGGGAAGGGTTTGAGGATGGTGGAGGTTTTCATGGACCCTGATGACGCCCCCGAAGGCGCCCTGCTCGACTTGATGCAGAAAGAGAAGAAGAGAATTGCAGATAGCCAATGATAGGCAGGGTAGGTAATAGATCATAATCGTACTAGAAACACTTCCGATTGGCTTCCGATACTCGATTGCTTCGAAGACGATGCAGGCGGCAAGTCTAGGAAACACAGCCGTACAGATTGAAGCCGGCTTAATGAACTTTTCATGAAATCTCAGTGGTTCCATATATGTAAAGATGAGTTGCTGCTAACAGAGGGGCATATTATTGCAAGACATGTATCGTTTAGACGTTCACAGCTTTGAGCCTCGCTTATGAGGCGCGGGAACATGTCATTATTTACGGCTTTTTCAAAAGGATGCCTAACTACCTAGTCACCTTTGGAGAAGGTTTGTTGAAACTTTGAATACATTAATACGGAACATGCTTTATATAGCTTTGTTTCCGAACTTCCGATCACAAGATGCGGGGTGATCGGCAGTTGCAAAAGTGATACATCAAGACAGAAAAGCCGGCCCGTGTGGGAGCGCATTTCGGAACCGGAAGCGTTGTTCATAATGCGGAGAGGCCGGATGACCAGTATTTTGCTAAAATAACGTTGACTGTAATACTTCCCTTTCCTTCTCGCCTTCGGCGTCCGGAAAATCCCAGACGAGGAACAATTCTGCTATCGAACCAAGTATCTTTCCAACTTCACGGCGATCCCATCGTCGTTTCACAGGGAAAATGGCCATTATTTCGGAAGTTGTTGCATTCATTTCAGCTCATCTTCCAATTTTGATTACTGCAATCTTAGCAATTCACTTGGTCCGGAATTTCACAACAAGAGGTGTTTCTAAGATACCAGGCCCATTCTTAGCCAAGATCTCCGACCTATGGAGGTTCGTTGACGTAGCACGCGGAAGAGCTCATGAGACGCACATCAAGCTTCATGCACAGTATGGGCAGTATGTACGACTTGGACCGAATCTAGTCAGCGTCCAAAACCTTGATGCCTTGAAAACCATCTATGGCGTTAACAAGGGATATCGCAAGGTAAATTGAGTCGTCTCGGGCATTCGCGACATCTACTGAAAGAAATCTCTTAGACAGAATTCTATGCAGTACAGCAGCAGCTGGCCAACGGCAAACCAACGCAGACACTTTTCACGACGCTCGATGAAGACTTCCATGCGAAGATCAAGAGACCCATCTCGAGTCTTTATTCTATGAGTACACTGACAGAATTCGAGCCCTTTGTCGACAGCACGATAGAGAAGTTGCTTGAGAAGTTGGATGAATTTGCCGACGCTGGGCGGGAATGAGACCTTGCGACATGGCTTCAGTACTGTGAGTGGCTATGACCAGTAATTTTAATCACGGAAAGTAGCTAACATGCATGCGTCTCAATTCAGATGCGTTCGATGTGATTGGAGAGTTGACCTTTGGAAAGCCGCTCGGCTTTCTCGATCAGGGCCAAGACGTCGGCGACGTGATGCTTTCATTGGAAAAGATGGTTGACTATGCAGGAATGGTGAGTTTTGATGGAAAACAAGTAGTACGTCGCTGACAGACCTTTTCTTGAGATTGGCCAAATACCTTGGTTGGATCATCTATTCATCAAGAACCCGATCAAGCGCAAATTTGGCGGTGGTTCCACGGGTGCTGTCGCTCAATTCGCGCGCCAGTGTCTCGAGGAACGTCTTCAGCGCCCCGAAGGAAAAATAGAAAATCCTTCTCACCGCGACTTCCTCACTCGCTTCTTGGAAACCAAAAAGACGTACCCGCAGGTTGTCGACGACCGTCAGGTCTTCTCGTGGACACTCAGCAACGTTAACGCTGGGTCTGATACAACAGCAATCTCACTACGAGCGGTGCTCTATTACCTCCTCAAGACCCCCTGGACTTTTACCAAAGTCATGAAAGAAATTGTGGGAGCTAGGGAAAACGGTAAACTGTCAATACCGGTGACATGGAAAGAGAGCCAAGAGCTGCCGTACCTGGATGCGGCTATCAAAGAAGCGCTCAGACTTCATCCCGCAGTAGGCCTGCTACTCGAAAGAATTGTTCCTAAAGCCGGAATCCAGCTTCCTGATGGCCCATTTCTGCCAGAGGGCACCGTTGTCGGTATCAACCCATGGGTTATGCATCGTCATCCTGCATTCGGCGATCATCTCGAGTCCTACGTGCCGGAGCGATGGCTGCAAGGCGAACACGAACCTCGAGAAAGTTATGAAATTCGGAAGGCAGAGATGCAAGGAGCGACGTTCACGTTCGGTGCCGGACCACGTACGTGTATCGGCAAGAATATCAGCTTGCTTGAGATCTATAAAGCAATCCCGACTCTTCTCTATACCTACGATGTAAGGAATACACCCAACACTGGTTGAAATCAGACTGACAGCTCCGCACTTCTAGATCAGCTTGAGCTACCCAGACAAGGAATGGGATACCGTGAACGCGTGGTTTGTGAGACAAAAGAACATCCATGTAAAATTGACCAAATCCGGCAGGAGTTGAGCTTCGTAAATGTCAAGGAACTCACGATTAGCCTAACGCATTGGCCCCTTATGGCATTAAACATTGCATGAAATGTCTTATAGTCTTCTGATTACAGATCATTGTCGTACCGGAAACGTAACTGGGAGTCTGGACCTCCCAATAAGTCCATTGCACCCTCGTAATCTTTATCATGTTGCATGAGCAGGTAATCACGTACAGGGGGAAAACGTCATCCCGCCGGTTTCTGTGATGTTGCAATGAAGATCAGTCGCTTGCTTTTACTCAGAGGCCCCGCCACAACTGCCGTGCACTGAACAGCGCAACAGTGGATAAGGTAAGTGGGTAATTACCGATGGGATAGCCAGGTTTCAGCTCAGGCACGAGTCTTGCTACGCAGTTTGCAGAAGGCATAGTGGTAGTTATTCACATTGACCTCCCGATCAAGACGTCTGAGTTATCATGCCACATCTGGGACCGATCCTAATCGCAAGTCCTCATCATTGACGATATCCATCCGAAGGCTCCCGATACACGCTTGTAGCTTTACGCGCTCGCCCAGTCTCTCAAGCGCATATTTCATTATGACAAACAAGCGTAAGAAGACTGGGTGTCTGGGTTGCAGAAGTAGGAAAAAGAAGTGCGACGAAAACCATCCCGACTGTCACTTCTGTGTTGCGAAACAAATTGAATGTGTCTGGCCCGACAATTGGCAAGAAGTCAAGACTGCGCCTGGACACAATGGTGGGTGCAGCTACCAATCTTGTGATAGAACGATGTTGGAAATTCTGACAAGCTTACTCTGTATAGCGGTGGCCTCAAATACCTCCAGGAGACGGCAACATAAGATTCAACTCAGGGATCTGTCGACAGCCGATTCAGGTATTGTCTGTGAGCGCGTTGCCCATGTTCCCACAGGGATGGTAGATGAGATCGTGCCGGAGTCCGTCACTCAGCATATCTTGTCAGTAACGGCAGCTGATGATATTGCCTCTGAGTCCATCTCTGATGGCGCAAGCCTCGCCTATACTATGAACGTATCGCCAACGATACAGCATATCCCATTCATTCTGGACTCGACCCTGAGATCAGATACCGACGATTTTCAGCTACTGTTTCAGCACTTTGTTTTGCAGTCGATGCCATCTATGGCGCCTGATGATATTGACTTGGACCTCTTTCTCAAGTACACGATGCCTTTGGTCCTCGCCGACGATCTGGTCATGCGCGCGGCTCTCGCTCTGAGCAGCGCAAAGTACATGATGCGAGACCCGACGAGTAAAGCGTTATATCTCTCTAGGCTATGCCATTCACAGGTTACGAATGCTATCAGAATACGGATCATTACTTGCAAAGCTGGGCTGGACGAGCGACCTGTGTTTCTATGCGCGGCCACTATACTTATGGCGGTGCTAGAGTTAACGCTTGGCAGCACACAAAGTCACCATATAGACTTTGCCACCCATCTTATCCTCAACGTCCTTCCCTCGTCCGTTTGTCAGATTGATCGAACTCTGTACAGATTCCTGCTCAGGGCGTGCATCTACATACGAGCTGAGACATGGGGGTGCGAGGGTCCCGCAGGTCTGCCCTCGGACGTAGAAAAGCAGGTTGCGAATATGTTCCAACTCGCGGGCAAGCTTGAGGATCTGGACAATGAGGGAGGAATAAGAAGTCAGATCGGCTTACTTCAGACGGCCTTCGTCACAGGCCTGTTAGTTGTGCCGCAGCTCGCTCGCCTTTCAGCATCAAGGGGATGCATTGAAGACGACGTTGAACGAGCTATACAATTGGCAGCACTCGAGTCGCAGATCCTGTCGTGGCAACCTCCTCCTGCTTCTGAAGCAAGTGATAACGTCCGGAGAGTCTGGGGTCTGTGGCGGACAGGTCTTCTGGTACATCTTTACACATCCCCGGTGGCACAAGAAGTTTGCCAGACGTGGTGGAGAGAAAAGAGCAACGCGTGCCTGAGCGATTTTATTCAGAAACTCAAAGATACATCTCAGAACCCTAGGGGCCTCTCAGTGCTCTCATGGCCGCTGATAATGGCAGGGTCATTTGCTCAGATCGCTTCGCATCAACGGTTGATTCGAGACACGTTATCTTCCATCTCCGAGCGAACAGTTTCGAGACTACCAGTCAAATTAGCGGAACGACTCGAGACACGACAGCCGAAATCTCGAACTAGCTTAGTGGTATCGTAGAGATTATGGCTTTTCCCGAGACGATGCTGTGGAGGCCAGTCTGGCTCTCGGCCAGACAATGCAAAGATGGCACTCAAATCTGTCGCACAATCTATACATCAAAATATTTTTCAGATTTGATTCATCTAGGCATTACGGCATACCTTGTCGGCCGCGCATGTTGTCACATCAACCTTGATAACATCACTGAAAACTTTAACAATCCGATCGTTTAGATAATAAATAGCACCATCAAAGAGTTTGCAGATGACCTTGATAGAATCAATTGATTTCCTACAAAAAGCCGAACACCCACCCTCCCACTTCTTCTTCATCCATAATTCCTTGATCCATTCCCTCTTCGAGGCCTCGCGGGGTCAGAGAAAGAGCCGCCATGTCCGGTATGCCCACGTTTTCTTGAACAGCGTGCGGCACACGACGCGTGCCCGTCGAAGAGTTCCGACAGGAGTTGCGCAACAAGATCAAGAGAAGAGAAGAAACTCACCATTTTGAAAGGATTGGAAGACACTTGTAATCTTCCAGGGCGGGAGGCGGGGACAACAACCGGTCAGTGCTGTGAGCAAAAAGCATCCTTCTGCGATAAATCTGCGATGACAAAACGAGGCAATATATATTGACATTCCATTAGGTATCTCGAGAAAGACACAGCTGATCTCAGGCATATCCAGAACAAGATATAGGACCATGACCCTCATCAGCGGAAGCAGCGTGAAGGAATGGGGCTAGTATGTAGGTACGGCCTCAGAGACAAGCGTCGGTTCTTCAACCGTGCAAGCCTTCATTCTTGCATTTCTCGTGTAAGGGAAAAGTACCTTAGGGACCTAAGATTGACCGGTCGACAAGCGTCTGGATAAGAACTCGAAAGCAGCATGCCACAACAACGCCGCAGCCCATTCAAGCTAGAGAAGAGAAATGCGACCAGAGAGGATCCGATTAGAAGCCCACCTAGAACACATGAGGAGAGCGTTCCGACCCTGTCTGGAGTCTCTTTGTCAGAGAGCTAAGCCACCAGTACGTCACCTGTAGTCTTCAGACCAGTTGCTCAGAGATTTTGGAATTGCCGCCTGAGCATTGTTAGGATAGCGCAACCTTCCATCTCATTAAGCCCGCTGCCCAAGCCCAAAACCCGGGCATCTCCCTCATTCTTCCTTCCTCATAGCACTTTCACATCTAACCACTGCACTCGGGGCAGGCGATCCGATTTTCCGTCGCAACAGAAAACGATAATAAGGACATTCACGGAAAGAATGCCTCCGGCTGGCATCAAGCTCATGTAGCAACCGACCTCGATCACGCCACCTCATATTCTGGCCCTCACACATCTACCTAGCCGCGTGACTGGTCATCTAGAGCAACTTCGAATCCCAAATGCTCTGTTGCATTCAGCTCATTTGATAGTCGTTGCACAAATAAATTCACGTCGAGAAAGCGGATGCCAACGTTCAATTTCCTGGCTGTGTGTATACCCTGACGACCTCCGAGACCTACTAGGTACCTATACAAACAGCCTATGTCATACGAAAAGCCCTCTTTCCCCCTAATCACAAGTCTCTCTGCGCAGCCAAGACCATCATACTTCGCCCTTGCGAAAAACATATGGAATATCACAGAAACTTGAACGTAAGACCCTCGAAACTCACCCATCTATATCTCGCAACTTCAGGAGATGCGAAGGCCTATGTTCTCAACCAGCGAATTCAAGCTATCCGTCCCGACTGGAATAATTACATTGCCACTAGCCGACGAAGTGATCGGGCTCCCAAAAGATCGGCCGCATCAAACACGAGAGAGGACAGTAGAAGGGAAGCTAGTGTTAAGCCCGGGAGGACTTGAAATAGAACCTCTTGCGGCTCCATGCCAGCCAGGTTGCCCACCATCATCCCCAGAACGCATGCGGAGACTATCACCCAATCTTGATGTCGTTTTCCATTCGCGGGGATGGAGTAGCGGACGCTCATAGCGATGCCGTAGCAGGCGATGACGACGATGCCCGTCCACCTCCATTCGAGAGACCTTAATGCTCCTAACCGGCAAACCAAATCAACGATATAAGAAGAAGTCTCACAGCCAGTCGAAGTCTGCGTCGCGTCAGTATTTCTCGGAATTCTGCGGTCATTGCCTTACCTCTCCGCTCAGCGGTTGTCGCATGTCTGTTCCTGTTATCCTGGAAACTCGGTTCATCAGGATCGCCGCGGAGCCTGCAACAAGCGTGGCGAACATATCGCAGCAGACGAGGCCGACTGTTTGATATGATACTCGGCGCTTTGAGGGAGTCATATCCCCCGTCTCGAGCCAAGCATGTTCGCAGTGGCAGCAAGTCCAAAATAAGTCCACGAGAGGAAGTCTTGTGAATGACGACGTTGGCTGGTCTTGTGGATCGTGTCCATTTCTGTTGAGGAAACGTCAACACTGAGTCTCGCTAGATTTCGATCCGCATCAATGCACTCACTCTGTCGATGTTGCCCACACTACTTCAGCCTGCGCTGTCGTCGCCCTTGTTGCCCCGCGCTTTGGCGGAAATCGGTCCAGCTGGGGAAAGGAACGCTGCGTCTTCTGCGTCGCTACAGACATGATTTCTCTACTTGTCTCCGTTCCGTGGACTATCATGTCAACTGGCCACTGTATTTCGATTACTGGTGGAAGGCAATCAACTTCTCGTCTCGTCCGCGATGCCCGGCTCAACAAAATCGCGAAGAGGCCCTGCCCCGACAGCCCCAGCGCCAGAAGCAAGGTCGACAACGAAGTTTCAATCATCGTCGAAGGCATAGGCGTTCTTGTTGAATTCTGGAAGAGGAGAAGAAACAGATGGGTGCCGGCAAAGATGAGATAGCGAAGTGATGGCACCGCGAGGCTGTGCCAGGATCTTCTCTTGTCATTGTGTAACCGTCAGGCTCTGAGGCCTCCGCTCGTGGCGCTCAAACTGCAAAAAGGAGACAGCGCCACGCAACCATCTCAACAGTTGTCGTATCCAATGGGACGAGGAACTGAAGATGACGTCGAATCACTCCTGGCTCTCTCTGGGGCGGTGCAGTACTTTCTTCATGTTGTCTACACACTTTCCTCGCGCCACCGGCTCCGCCAAGAAACAACTGCTCGCCCGTCAACAGCGGTGAAAGTCATTTTCGATTGAAACGCCCATCCGCCAAGTACTTTATCGGTAGGTTTCTTGTGTGCAAGGAGGCCTGTCTGACGTGGACAACTAACTTATGGTGTCTTAGAGCTTTTCATGTAGACATTGGGAATTCCACAGGACGACAGCAAAGTCGCAGCACTCAGTGGCTACCACCTACCGACGACAACCCGAGCAGGATCTCTATACCAAGTCCGCCTTGCATCTGTCACAGTCGCCCTTCCTCCTCCTCTCTCGACATTTGTCACTTTCACACACTCTCTCCTTCCCCCTCATCATCCCCTTTCACTATCTCTCCCTCTCCCTCTCCATCTCTCAGCCTCGCTTCCCCTTTCTGTGGCTCTAACTCAATCTCTTTCTTCCCTCCTCTTGTCCTATCAATCTATCTATCATTGATCTCTCCCCCGACAAGATCATCGCGCCGTAAATCCATCACGCCCAACCCCTGGTCGATACTCAGACTATTCCGCGAGCGATTCGAGCGCAGACCGGAGCGGCAGCCTCTTACCATGTCCCCTCTGGAGGGCACTTTCGGCCGTACGCCGAAAGTCGACCTCCCAGACAAGGTCGAGGGCTTCATTCGTACCCAAAGTTACGAACCAGGCAATTCCGAAAGCAATAGATCTGGGCGCATCGTTGACGGACGCAATGCCTCTTCTGCCGACTGTAAGAGTATCATCGGACATAACGATGAAGACCCCTCCAAGCGGCCGATACTCCATGACGTGGAACAGTCTCCAGCCTCTACCATGACCATGGACCCATTTCCCCTCGTCACCGGTGTCTGGCCGGTGCCCATCAGCTTGTCGATATCACAGTGTGAGAAAGACTTTCAACACATTACCGCATCGCCAGGCCAGCTCAATCAGATGTACAACCCAAAGAACCTCATGGCCTTTTATTACCGCGGCGGGATCCAACGCATTGCCAACGGCCTAAAGACTGACCTACGCTTTGGTCTGAGCGACGGATGTGTCAATATCCAGAGCCCCGTTAGCTCACATGAAGCCGTTGGGAAGGTCAAAAGGAGTCTGGGGCAAGGCAACATCGACCTTGACGACTTTGAATGTCGCAAGAGAGTGTTGGGGGGGAACCGACTGTCGCCGCCGAAAGAGACACCACTGCTGAAGCTTATGCGGATGGCGTCGAGCGATAAGGTGCTGATACCTGTCACAGTCCTCGTGACGGCCGTCGGCGAACATTCAAACATTGGACGGACCCTGATGTCTATGAGGGACGATGAAAGTCCCGGCATGGGCGCCTTGGCCTGGTTCATGTTCATGGCTAGCCAGCTGGGTAACTTCCTTTGCGTCACCCTCAGCCTCGGTACCAACCTTCTGCCTGAGATCTCGACAAGGATGAACTGCTGCAATTTCGGCTTGCTCTCCGTCCCGGTCCTCAATCTCGTCCGTTTCTGCACCAATATGTTTCAATCCGAGGCTGTCTTGAACACGGATGCTGTCAAACCATCATTCTTCCGCCTACACACCAAAATCGACCATTATACGAGCTTCAGGTTGGACCAGTCTCTCGCCACAACATTCCAGGAGGGGGCGATCACTGAGCCTCATAGATTGTCGACACTCGCCGACTCCTTGCGGTTCGGCTCCGCTTCCACGGCTACAGAATGGACTGGTATTATCTCACAACCAATAGGTTCGAGTACGGCCAGGCGTCATCGAAGGCTTTTTGTCAACAATCCAAGGCTCGCTGGGGGAATATGCCTCGCAGGTTATGTTATACCGTTAGCTGCTGCCGCTTTCAGAGTTGCTCGGGGCCTGCGTATCGCCTCAGGGCTCACATCCACCGTTTCAGGGGTCACCGTAATACCTCTTCGCACCGCGGAGGGCTTTCCCGTCTGGTCATGGATACTGTGAGCCTCCATGCCCACCTTTCATGCTCACCTTCTGAACAAAGGTTACTGATAAGTTTTCATAGGACGTATGGTGTTTGGGCCACCGCTTTCTCGGTATACCTCTGGCAGCAAACTCGGCGCATCCCGCGCAACGCCAACCACCGGAGGCAACTGTAGGTTTTGACGCCTGATTTGAGAACATGCGACAGAAATTAACTCGATTCTAGCTACTTGTTCTGCGTCATTATGGCGGCCGGGCACTTCACTACGGCCATGTCTCAGGCTTCGGGAGCGCCCCCCTTGCCGGACATCTTTACCTTGTACGGCCCAATCATCCTGACGTTCTGTGCCTACTCCTTTTTCCTGGTTTACGAAGCCGTCCTCCATGAAGTCCCAAAGGGTGGCGAACCTCTTGATCGAGAGGCTTCTCCAACTCCTGACGGCGACAGCGCAGCCACCGTTCCCTTCGGCGCACAGCCCGACCAGACGGCCCTCGGTATCGGCGTCGCCGCTATGGCTGGGGTTCCTTCGGAGGTAGCACTATCCTGATACCAGCAGGTCGCCCAATTCTAGCACTACGACTATGTGTTTGACATTCCATTGTCTGACGCTAATCTGGTGTATAATTCACTGACTCTTGAAGGATGCTATTGTTGTTTTATATCTACGTACTGTTGGTGCTTTTCTTTTTCTTCATCTTATTAGCTATTTGAGAATTGGGGATGGATTGATTGCAGGTACGCGGGTGACAAGATACATGGCCCGTCGCCATGCTGCCCTCACATCAACACGCCCCGGAAGCCCCGTATCAGAGTCTCAAAAGTAAGAAAAACCTACGGAGACTATGAGGGAGAGTTATATGGTTATTATTTTGACCTAGTTTGAGGCGAAACAGTGCTAGGTAGCTGATGTCGAGGAGGTAGTTCTGTGGGTGCCGAATACCGCAAAGAAGCATTCGTATTTTGTCACCCACGTGTGGCAGGCTACCGCCATCGCAGTCATGCAGCCGAGCGCACTTAGCCGAAGAAAACCTTGGCTACCTACCTTAAGCGACATAGAATAGGGGCACTGAGGATAGAGGTGCCCATTCTCATGAGGGAATCGAAAGATTCTATCAGATCGATGACGAGGAGAAATACTTTGACGGCCTCTGGGGCCTAGGTAAGGTACCTAACGGTAGCTGAGTGGCGTGTCGAGGTTGAACACGCCATAGGTAGGAAGCTGTCTCACGACAAACGTTGTTGGTTTTCTTGTACTAAACATGGTCTTGCATTTGGCCTGAGGGCTTGCCCAAGGGCTGTGCAAGTAACCCAATGCCAAATAAACACTTGATACTTTACTCAGAAGTCAGTAACTTGTTCTCTGTCCTTGACGGGGAATAAAACTGGGACCCTTGATGATAAACTGCTTCTGTGAAATACAGATGTGTTCCGCTGGAGAACTTCCTAATCGCAAGCTTTTGAGCATACCAGAGCTATATGTGGCGGAGCCCCGCTTGCACTGCGGCTAGGCGGCAAGTTGACTAACCCCGACAACTCATCCACTGCGGGTGGCGTGACCAATAAACTCTCGCCTCACGCTTGAAATCGTCGTCTCACAGTCAACCACACTGCTCCATTCACATCGCTTCATCAAGTAGAAGTGAACCCACCGCAATCATCAAGTAATTCACCATACTTCCTATAATTGAACTTCGATGATGATGAAATCCCAAGGCAACGAATCCCAGGGCCTTCAGAGCTTCTTGCCTCTGATCAACAAAGTCGACAAGTTGAGTGCCCCAATTACCAAAACCCCCCTCTTGAATCGGGTTTCTAACTGCCTTCCAGTGTCCCTCTGGGTTTTGACTTCAACACCCTCTACAAGCTCTTTCTACCCAACGACTCTAGGCCCCATGGCTTCATGGTCCAAAGCACCGTAGAGCGTCTTCCGTGGACCCCGGACTTCCACATCGACCACAATAAGCGCACAGTGCAGCTGCTCAACTCCACGATCAAAGATGATGAGGACCCCGGCAAGGCATGCACAGCTGCCTTTCAACGCGTCGTCGATGCCGCCATTGCCTCTGACTCTTTCCCCTCGCTGAACAAGCTCCATAGCGAGAATTTTAGAATCATCGGCGCGAACCACTTTGTCTCGATTGAGCGATTTCCAGCGCCTCTGTTCGGCATCTCGTCGCGCGGGGCACACATGACCGCCTATGTCAAAACAAGCGAAGGGATGAAGATCTGGGTACCGAGACGGAGCGCGCATCTCTTCACTTTCCCGAACCTACTTGATACCACTGTCGCGGGCGGCGTCAAGGCCGAGGACTCGCCCTTCGACTGCATCATCGCCGAGGCGACGGAGGAGGCGTCGCTGCCTGCTGACTTTGTCAAGGAGAATGCTCGAGCTGTCGGAGCTGTGACGTACTGTAGCTTGAACAAGCAGAGGGGGACATTCTTCCCGACTGTTCTCTACGTCTACGATCTTGAGCTACCTGAGTCGATCGAGCCTCAGCCGGGCGATGATGAGGTTTCCGGTTTTGAACTGATGTCGATTGACCAGGTCAAGGATGCCATGCTGGGTGAGCAGTTCAAGCCCAACTGCGTTCTGGTCATGCTCGACTTCTTCATCCGCCACAACATCATCACCTCTGAAAACAATGATGAGTATCTGGAGATTGTCACTAGGATGCGGCGGCATCTTCCGGTACCAACCAGTCCGGAACGAAGGTGATAGATCGTGAGTTGGCCAAACCTTGGTTGGGTATGCCCGGGGAAAACATCTGGTTCACATGGATGCCAGAATAGATTCACTGTAGACGAGCCGTCAGAATAGAGACGAAGACTCTGCCACCCTGGTATACTTATGATGCTGATAGCCTGGAAAATGGCAACACTTGATACCTTGGATTCATTCATTGCGGACGAGCATCATTTGAGCCTTCCTTTATCGTATCTGGTTCTTGGTGTTATGGCTCGACTGGACACAAGTGTTTGTGACTTAGGCGAAGAAGCGGGATGATTGCCTGCCTGCTATAGAAATCTCTCGGAGGGGATTACCAAACTCACTGAGGCGTACGCTGTTGTTCCCGGTGCGGCGTCTTACTTGTCATCGCCTAGAACGTAACTATGTCGACACTTACTGTCTAATTACTGAAATCAGTCTGTTTATCTCCTCTACAATGACTGCTTTCGTGCTTAAGCATTATCGATACACGTGTGTCAAGGTTCAACCAATTAAAAAGGTACCAAATACTATAAGTGAGCTCGTTGAACAGCGCCAAAGAATCTCACATCGTGTCAGGTTGTCTTTGGTATACGTTTGATACAGTAACCTGAGATTTTGCTGACGGCAGAAACCCATATCCTAGTTCCACTTCGTTGTCATTTGCTCAGATAATGAAACAGTTCATATATGATGGTTCGTATATGTTGTGCCTTAGGGGAGACTAGAGGTAGGAACCAAATCCCACAATTGTTCTATTCTACAGCTTCTTGCAAAGTCTCGTGTTGTACTCGATCTCTTCCCAGTCTTCTGTACCAGGAGTCGCAACGGCGTAAAAGATGCCGTTGGGGTCCCACTTCTTACGCAACTCAAGCAGCGTAGGGTAGACCGGGCCCCAGAAAGCGTCTTGCCAATTAGGTTGGAAGGGATCAGCCTGATAACATGGTCAGTCAATCTTCCTCCTACTATGACAAAATTCAGCAGAACTCACCTCGTTGACGTAGGTACATCCATCAGGACCAGCCTGTCTCAAGGCCTCATCCTGAATGTTGGTCAAGACGTTTTGCAGATCAGCCTTCTGTTCAAGACTGGCGCCAATAGGTACCGGTATGACACTGATGATGAAGTTGGTCGCGTTTCTGAAGGCGGGATGTGTTGCACTGTTTGCCACTGGCCATGCATGCCCAGCATTCCAACTGCCTAATGTCAGACTTACTCCAGGGGTGAAGGTCAATATACTCACAAATGTCCCACCATGAAACCCGACAGGCCTTCTCGGGGGGTGGCAACAGTCTTGAAGGCATCAACGATTTGGTCGTTCCGCTTCTCAACGTCAGTGTGGCTGAACATCCACCCGCCAGTCAAGGCGTTAGTGCCGGCTTGCTCGTCAAGGAAAAGGTCTGTGTAAAGAGCGAAGAATGACCCGAAGCCTTTGGTGGAAGACTCAAAAGGGACGTTGCTGGCCTTGAGCTCATCAAGCATGGGCTTGATAATCGCGTCGAGTCCCCCCTGCGTCTTCCCAAACGCCACAAACGGTTGCACATTGAGCATCATCGAACCAAGCTCCCAGTAAACGTACAGCCCACTATCGACGAAATGGTTGGACCACTTGTGGAACACGCGAACTCCCTCCCAGAAAGTCGTCTCGTTGACTCCGCTGGTTCCATTGATATACAGAACGCCGCCGGCTGCCTTTTCCTCGGGGTACGTCCGGAACGTCACTGAAGTCACAACAGCATACGAAGATGGCCCACCGCCTTTGAGGCCGAAGAAGAGATCCGAGTTCTCATCCGCATTGGCAGTAACGTACTCGCCTTCGGCAGTGATAGCCTCAAACTCGAGCGCGTTGTCGGCAGTCATACCGTGAAGCGTCGTCAGAGGGCCGTGGCCGCCACCAGCAACTAGACCTCCGGCGACGCCTACGGTGGGACATTCACCAGTGACAACGACAACGGGAGGATCTTGGGCGTTTGCCGCCCTCAGTAGGGCGCGGCCTTGGATTCCAGCGCCGAGCGTGACAGCGCTGCCGGAGTAGTCACCAGGACCGGTCCATTGCTCGGTAAAAGCGATGTCCTGGAAACTATGAGTGTTGATGATGAGAGCGCCCCAGCCGGTACTACGTCCGATGAAGTCGTGGCCTGTGTTGCGGATGATAAGGCGGAGGTTATTGTCCTCGCAAAGTCGATACCGGCTTTGATGTGTTCCTTCTTGGTCGCCCCAATGACATAGACACCGTAGTTACCTAGCGTGCAAGGTTCTTCGGGATTTTCAGTAGGCTGGCATGTCGCGTTGGTGAAATATTTCCATAGGTTAAGACCCAGTTGATCAGTTCTTTGACGGGAATCAGTCTTTTAGCTCTGCTTTCTATGTGACAGAAAATACGATGAGAAGAGTTGACCTACGTCCATTGCTCATCTGTGTAGATAGCGGTAACCTCAGCACACTTTGCCGCATCGTATGTTTGAACTGTACCGAGAGTGCCGTCGAAAGTGTTGTGACAGACAGCTTCCGGGGGAATGTGAGCATGCAGGTTTCCTTCGACCGTCGTGTTCAACTGATTCCAGTCATTGGGCTTGGGCCAGCATGCATCGCCAGCGTAGCATTTGCAGCCATACTGCTTCCCTTGCCACGTACGGGGCACCAGGCTGGCGGCGAAGACGCCTTGCGTGACTGCCGCTAGGCTGAGCAAGACTGTTGAAAAGTGAACCATGGCGACAACTGCCTGAAGAGTCCGAATGGCCTTGAATAACGACTCATTTGACCGGAGAGCCAAAGATTGGAAGAGCTCATATATAAATCTTCAGAATTGACCGAGGATCTGACTTCCTACTACAGCGACAGGTCTCGGAGCCCCGCTTTCCCCCTCCTCCTGATGCCCATCTTCGGGCTTCATCTCTTGCCCAGCCTTCGGTCCTGGCCCAACTTCTAGTTTTGCCAAGGTGCAGGTTACCTTGCAGGATACGACTCAATCTATCAACCTACCTTAGGTTGCACTCCTCAGTTCGCCCCCGCTAGGGACCGAATAAGACTTACACCGCGTGGACTATACCCTCCTGCCAAAGTCTCCCCCGGTTCGTCTGATATTAAAGAGTGATGTGCATACACGTCGGGCGAAGGTTTAAGATACATCAGTTCAAGTAGACTCGCATGCATCAACTACCTTACCTTAGCCATACTAGGTAACAATTCCATGTGTTATTCTACGCACATGACAGAGGTAGTCCTGCCGGAAACACCACCTGGGCGCTTCCGGATGGAATGGCATGGTTGGTTACTTGCCAAGGAAGCAGACCAAGCATCCTATGTTTCTTGAGAAATATGTTCCACATTATCACTATACACTAGACAACGAGCGCTCGTCGGAATCGGATGGTGGGAAAGGCAAAGAAGGTTATCTTCACCCACCCAGCCCACAGCGGGTAAGGAGCGGTTCCCGAGGCCGGCGTCGGACAGCCCTGGGACCTGACAGGTTCACCTAAGATGTGGCCCTCAATTTGACGAATAACAAAGAGAATCTATATTAGCGCTGACAGCTAAACTTGCATAACAAGGCGGGGGATTTTACCGGCAGATGTAACCGAGTGGGATCTCCGAACAATAGTGGAGCTATCCCCGAAGGGACTCCAGGCCCGATGCAGCAAGGCAGTCTAGAATCCCAGGGTCTGCTCTGATTTTGAATGAGCTTTTATGCGGACATAAGGAATTGAGTTGGAACTTGAGTAGACATAGTTTGATTCGAGGCTTATATCGTGAATTCTCCCTCCGGCTTGGTCTGTGGACTGAGGTTGTATTAAAGCTGAGGAAGAGTTCTGTCAGCAATCTCTGGTCTGCAGGCTTAGCTATGAGACCTTTTCGGATCAAGCTGTTGAGGTCGCATTGACGCGTCGTAACCTTGAAAGCCAAGACCTTGGTAACAGGGTGTCGGAGCCGACAACGATCTTTTACCGAGAAGGAGGATTCTCGCGAGATTCTCGTGACCCACGCAAAGCTGTGATAAGCAAAGGCACTGTGCCGACTTGGCACAACGTGCCACTCCCGCAACTCGCAGGTGGGCACACGGGCAGCAAAGGCCTTTCGCTTGTAGCTTTGGAATGAATGAAAGGCCAATGTTTTGATGAAAGACGCGTCATCATATCTCTCTGCCATCAGTCGTTGATGTGTAAAGAAAAATATGCGTGTCCGCGAGCAGCAATACACAGCTCAAGAGTCAGCGTTGCCGAACGAGTTGATCTCTCGCTCACATACAACATGGAATGATGATGGCCACTTGTGTTTGGCAACTTGCGCTTGTCAATCAAATCTTTTCACCTTTGAAATTAAGATGCAGTCTGATTCGCTGTTGGTCCAAAACGGGACGATATCCCGCCTGTTCAGCACAGCTATCTGAACAGAGACATCGCTGCCGAGCGTCAGCACTAGCGATGTCTCTTCCCGAAATGGAAATTCCCATGGCATGTCTCTGCCACCAAAGCTTATTCTCACGTCTTGCACACTATAATGTACCAATACAGGGCAATTGGTTGTTCCTTGATATGGTTGTGAGTATTGCATAGGTGCTAACTGGGCCCTCGCCTCAGCACAGAAAATGACACGCTCATGGAAGTATGAATACGCTCGAATCGTCCACCGAGTCTCTCAATACATGATTACAGACAGGGCCAAGATCTCGTTACCTTCTAATGATCTTGACTGGCATTCCTTCCTTGGGATGAGCAGTGATCTGTGTTCCCGTCATCCACTGAAAACCCTTCTCCCCGAAAACCTCTGGCGCGTGCTCGGCAAATTGCGGCACAACTTCAAGCTCCCTCACAGTCAATGCCAAGATAAGTCGCATTTCAACGAAAGCTAGCTCCTGGCCAATACAATTTCTGGGACCTAGTTCAAACGGTCGGAATGCACTCTTCACTGGGTGAAGAGGGTCACCCTCTTTGACCAGCCACCTCTCAGGAATGACTTTGTCGGGTTCTGGCCAAAGCGCGTCCCATCTGTGCATCGCCTGCGATGCGACGAACATCATGAACCCGTCGGTCGGGAATCGCTCGCCTGTTTCTGGTTCGGTGATGAACACATCGGGAGCTCCCTGTCGTACCGTCCCGACTGGTGGGTAGAGGCGGAGCGTTTCTTTCAGTACAGCGTTGGTGTAGGGAAGATGGTTCAGCAACGCGGGGTTCTCGACAATCCGAGATGCTGTGGCGCTTGCATCGGTCCCAAAAACCTCGTCATGCTCGGATCGAACTTTCTCGAGGATAGCGGGATACTTGCTCATGAGATACCAGGCGAAGCATAAAGCGCTCGCCGTGGTATCATGACCCGCAAGCAGAAAGATCTTGAGCTGAGAAACGGCAACGTCAATGAATTGAGAGTCGAGCTTCGCTTCGGCTTTGGAGCCAGCCGCAGACATCTCTTTGATGTAGGAACTTATTGCCAGACTATTGACGGTCTTGGGGCCGTTGCTGTTGCTTCTTTCTGATATGTTCTCTTTGAGCTGACGCTCGATGTGGGGCACGATCTCGCGCTTCATGACATAGTTGTAGTAAAGCATCTGAAGCGGCCTCAAGGGATTGATAGACTTGAGAAGATTGGGCGGACCATTGTCTGGGATCAGCAAGCCAATCTGCTTCTGCAGAGCTGTGAAAACGGGCGAGTCTGTTGTTTGTGCGTTTAGGCGAGTCCCCCTAAGTCAGACACAGTCAGCTGAAGCAATTGAGAAAAATCTCGGATCGAAACCCTCCTGGGAGCAAGTGGAAGGACTTACAGAACCGCTCTACCGATGACGTCTACTGTGGCCTTCATAACACCGTCTTCCAGAGCAACAGTGGCTCCCGAGTCAGCGAGAGTCTCGAAAGACTTCTTGAGAACTAATGCTTCTTCAACCATTGCAGGGACTAATGAGAGGATGTTCCGAGCTGAGAACCCTGGGTTGAATACGGCTCGCCACGTCTTCCATGTCTGGCCTTCCATATTGACGAGATCATCGCATCCCGTCAGTGGATGGAACTCCTCTTTCATCATGGCGTGCTTCGGTAGCGAGCGGTCCTGCGTGAATTGATCTGCAATCTTTGGGTGAAAGACGGCAATCATGGGCGGGCTGATGGGCCATGTATCTACATAAACTAGCCCTTTTTTGCAAAGGTTCGGGTACTTTCTCAGTAGTAGTAGCGGGAGCACTTGGCCATTGAGTCCTGGAGGTTGTTTTGCCATCAGTTTGCCAACTAGCAAAAGATGGCCGAAGATGAACGAGTGAGGAAGGACTTCCTGTAGCGCATCATCAATCAGCTCATCTGATCAAGACAAATACTCGGAGCGCATGAGCTTTCCAGATTGACTACATACCACTCCATGGTCTTTTGAGACAGCCCGCACTCTCGACCTGACTTGAACCAGTCGGACAACAAACTTGGCGACGTAGAACGCTGCAAGCGCGCCTAGTGCCTGGGCCAGCAACACCACGTTCAACCCCATCCTCGATGATGCAAGCTTTCGCTGAGGCAGTGATCGTGAAGAAGGACAGCACCTGGGGCCCAAAGTTGGCAAACGGACAATTTACGCAGGAGGAGCGAAGCCGATCGCTAATGACGGGGTTCCTACTCGTGGACGCGGGGTTGTTTGTTGAACGGATTGGACGGATGACATAATGAAGGGGTCACAAAGAATAAGGAGGAACGACTCTCATGGCCCAACCCATTTTGAGGTTAACTCGAATTTGTGGAGATTAGTTGCTACGGCGGCGGCGGGGAGAGACTTCGGCTCGAGTCAGGCATCATACCAACTCAATTCTGCTTAGGTAGGGCAGGCCGGGTAACAAGAAGAAAGATGATAACATTGCATTACTAAGGTATACGTGGCCATTGAGATGATAGATGCCATGTCATCAGTCTCACCTTGTCTAAGTAGGTATTCGAACGGACATGGAGATGAATTGGGCGTCGGCTTCGACTGCCGCTATTAAGTTTCCAGGGGTTCAGAATACGAATACGACTGAGGGATCCCGCATCGTCCAGCTTTACTATCACCAAGAACCATCCAGTTCATCCCAAACAACGAAAGGCAGTCCACAGTACGCATTTCCTTGTACCAACTTCTCGGTGCAACCCGCAACCTCAGTTCCAAGAGAAGGGTTGACCTCCAAGAAAAGAGTAATCGTCGTGCCACTGCTGAAGGCTATGGTGCTACAGGTATCATTGACGGCTGCGACATGCCACGACCCACAATACACAGTCGTACCATCCGCGACTGTTGCTCCCGCAGGCGGATCGATGATCTCTTCACTGTAACCCGGCGCATTGGTAGGCGTGGTAGTGTCTCCATTGACGGTGTCATTGCCAGCGTAGGCTCCGTCTGGAGGGGACATGCAAAGAACGTGGCCAAAGGTGGCGGCGCTGGCAATGTGTAGGTTTTCGCAGTTCTTGTCCACCCACCGATTGTACTTCTGGGTGTTGCCGAGTACCGGCGTGACGGCTGTCATGGTCAGGTTGTACTCGATTGAGGCGCAGGTATCGTCGGGCTGGATGACCCATGTGAGAGCGCAGGACGGCGGGATGCACAGCTTGGAGCCGGCCTCGATATTGAAACAATCGAAGATCGTGTCTGGGTTCTCGAAGTAAAGTGTTGCTGAAGAAACGCTGTTCGACTGGGCTATTGTGTCGCATGTGTCCCCTTCAGCCGTAGTGTACCATTTGTCAGTCTGACAGTAAGTTGCCGGGTCTTCGATGATGAGTGGTGTCTCGGGTATAGTCGTGTTGACACCGGCTGTACCGCACTCGGTAACCGTGTACTCATATTGAGACTGGATAAAGGAGTCGTACTTGGAGTACCGTGAACGTTGAGGGATGGCATAGTGCTCCACCCAGCAGAATGAGCAAAGCTCGTTCTTGGGCATCTCTTCGATGGTAGAGACCGTGGTGAAGCCGTCTGTAATCTCACCGCAATACTTGCCACTGTCGGTATCCTTTAAACAAGTCTGGTTCCACCCATCCCAAATGCGGCCTCCGAGAAGAGTTGGGAGCGCATCATTGACTTCGTATCCCGCGCAGGCGATGGAAACACTGTCAAACCAAGTCTTCAGGCTCTTTCCGCAAGACTCAGCGCACACGCTGTCGGTATCGTTGACATTCCCGAGCCAGCTGCGAATACCAGGCCCTTGATAATCTTCAGTGCGGTTATCACATGCAATGATCTCGGTCAAAGCACTGCTGCAGGTCTCTGGCAAGACGAGGCCGTAGAGCTGTTCCAGCATTCCGTTCGTCCATACACGATAACCTTCAAACTCGCGCTCGCCTGCTACGTCAGTGGAACCCTGAAGCCATGCTAAGACGGAGGCCAGGAATCCATTCACGTTGTCTTTGGCATATGTTGGAACACTACCCAAAGGCGACACCATCTCAACTATAGCTTTGGTGCAGAGGTTGTAGATCCAGATGTCCTTGCTTTGCTGCACTTCCATAGCGCGCTCCTGACAGTTCTCTGTGTCTAAACAGTCCTGACTGTAATCGATGAACCAGCTGTAGAGTCCGGCACCGAGCATGTAGATGGAAGAAGAGTCGATGATTCGGACTGCCCAAGAGACGGCACATGTTGCGGAGGAGGAAGCCACACAGCCACTGAATGTCGGGTCGTTGGGAAACATGCCAGTCGTGAATGGTGTTGGTGCTTTAGGGACGGGTTGAAAGTAAGGGGACTCCGTCTGGATCATTCCCATGACCACGTTCTTCGCGTTGGAGAACTGATACTGGTACAAGACATTATGCTCTACTGAGGTTCCCCAGAGCCAAGCCTTTTCGCTTTCGACGAGGAGACCACGGCCGGCATAAATGTCGATTTGATCGAGAGTGATCTTGTCAAGGTCATGATCTGCAGTCCAGAGCCAGACGTTCTCGAGATATGCCGTTGATTTGGGCTTCAAGTGCATCAGAAGAGAAGCAGCCTTGCACCTTGAGTTGACGATTCCAGAGTCTTTGGGGCAATTTGCGGTGGATAGATCACTCCCCGCTGCACCGCCAATACGAACGTGTGTATCTGTCAAGAAATGCTGTTAGACGCCTGCCAAGAATGATTCTGAACTGGACAGGACTTCTCACCCCACATGCCAGCAGATCCGGTGCTCGATTCAGCAACGTTCCATTCGATGGTAACGGCACCTGCAGTGGGCCCCTTGACGGTAACCATCATACTTGTGATTTCTACAATGCCAACATCTCCAGCTTTACCAACCTCAACCACGGCTCTTGGCTGGGTCTCGTCGGAGAACTGTGTGTGAATAGAATGAATTAGCTTATCAGTACTTGGTGGATACACCAATTTTAGACGGTCTTTTACCAACCTTGTCTCCTGTGCCCATGATCTGTGGCCAGACCTGGCCGATGATACGGGAGCCGACGGGTACGCGAAGAGTGTCCGTCACAAGGTAGACACCGTAGGGGAAGAATACAACGGAAGAGGTATTCGCGGCACCCTGAAGGATGGAATTCAGCACGCTCGTGTCGTCGGTCTTGCCATCGCCCTTGGCACCAAGTGTCTTGACGTTCATGACCTTGCTAGAAAGAACATCTTGGTACTTTGGTCGTCTTCTCGTGAAAAGATTCGGTTTCAGGTTGTCATAGGCGTCACCCAACAAGCCCTCGTTCCGCTCCATGACAGCGATGTGCTCGCCATTGACAAAGGATGTTTGCCCAGCACCCGTGGTAGCGTTTGTAATACGACCGAAACCCCAGCTATCGACAACGACAGAATTGCCGCCGTTCAGGAGGATGTTGCCAGTCTCGTTGTCAGTAATTGCCGTGATTGTGTTGAAGAATCCGACATTCTGCAGCAGGAATGAGGTCGAATTCTCGGCATAGAGCGTTGTGACGATGCCCTTGGGGGTGTTTGCGATGATGGAGTCCACCAATATGAGTGATCCCACGCCTTGTCCAGTCGACTTTGGACCTCCAGCCTAGGTTTTTTTCTGTCAGATTCCTTTCCAAACTCAAGTAGAAGTTAGTGGCTGGCTTACACCGCCGACGACGAGAAGCGCGGTCCCGCAGCTTTCAAAGATGAAGTCCTGCATAGTCCAGGCCCAGTCCCAGTGGACCTGGACACCAACAACAGAATTGACGAACACGAGGTGAGAAGTCGTGAACTGCTGGTTTCCGAAGTATGCTCTATCAAATGGTCAGTCTCTGCAGAGAATTCTTCCCAAAATGGCGGGAAGCATACCCAAAGGCACCTCCAACAAAGGTGAGATCAGCTAGGAAGCCACCCGATCCATTCTCCATGTAAACGCCCTATTGGTCTGTGTGAGATACGTATATTTAAACATAAGGGTGCTTGCAACCGTGAGATCAACTAACCTGTTGGTTGTTGCCGGGAACATCCGACTCAAATTGCATGTAGAACTCGATGTTCTCCAGAGATGTTGCTTGTGCGACTTGCCAGTGGATTCCACACATGTAAGTCCATGAAGATGCGGGTCTGATGTCGATCTTGAAGTTCTTGATACTTCGGAGAAAGTTGGCAGTGTTCAGGTACCTGAGGTAGAAAAGGTCAACAACAGACAAGACCAGCGGCATGATAACGCTGCATATGCCATATCACCGACATAGCATCCAGAGAGATTTCCACATACCACTCCTCGTCATCACTGATATAGACATCACTCTTGATGACACCTTGGCCCACGAAGCTTGACGCAGCCAACAGAGTTGGTACATCGAGAGGCTAAGCATTGATGTCAGTAACTCACAAGTGTTGATTGTGGTAGGCTTCAATTTCCAAAATTAACTCACATTGCCGAGGAACTCTGTGTTGAAGTATTGAACGATCGGACTGCTGACCAGATACGTTCCTGGGGGGAAGTAAACGACAGCAGGATAGATCGTGCTCGAGCCACAGTCAGGACCGCATCTGACGCCGTCGCTCACGGCTTTGTTGATAGCATCTGTATCATCTGTCACACCATCGCCTTTTGCGCCATAATCTTTCACGTTTCTCCAAACCTACGTAGATTCAATCTTGTCAGTCGCTCTAATGATGATTCGGTTCAAGAACCACACTCACTTTGTAACCGCTAGGAGCGAAGGGACTGGCTCCGGATGAGCCCATGCTGACCATCCACCACTCCTCGGCACGCTTATTCAGTTTGTCATCTCCGTACACAGAAAGCCGCCCCTCGGGAGTTTTGAGCGACTCTGGAGTATTGGTGTCATTTGTCTTGTGTGCATACTTCTCTCTTATGACTTTAGCCACCTCGCTGTGGTTTCCCTTGGGAACCTGAGGCGTAGACTCTGCCAGAACTTTCGCGGCCTCAGCTAGCTCAGAGGAGATAGAGAAATTTGGAGCGAAGATCTCGGCACTGCTGTTGTTCTGGCTTTGACGCCTTCTCAACGTAGTATCATTGCTGATCACGGCAGGCGCATCCAAGGCCGGGGCAAGACTCGGTGTCTTGGAGCCAGAATGAAACTCATACTTGTTGAAGTGTGGATTCTCGACTCTAGCTTTGTTGAGAAGCTTCAGAGCAGCGAGTGCTTCCTCTACAATGTTCGCGGCACTGGAGTTCTTGTTGTCGGCGCGAGCATGCAGGTGAGCGTGGTTGTGGTGCGAGTGCTGATGACCCGAGACAGTTGTTGCAAGGCATGCGAAAAGAGTGACTAAGAAGAGTAGGCTTCTCATCAGGACGTTGAGACGACCCATCGTGCTTGACTTTGCAGGTTTCGCCAAACCTGGTGAATTTCAACAAGGCATGCGTGCGAGAAAGATAGAATGTCACAAACTCAAGGTGATTCCAGTCATCATCTATACCAAGCGCTGTTCAGCAAGACTCCATCATGTCATGAGACCGATAATTGAATGTATCATTTCCGGAGTCACCCGCCATTGCATATGCACTTAGACCCTTACTTGACCAAAGTCCCAAACACAATTGGGCTCCCCGCCATGATCCTTGGGCTGTGGATCGGGAAGCAAGAAGAATAATAAGCTTACGTGCTTGGCGAGGAGCACGGTCAGGACAAGGGTGTTCGTTTTCGTGAGTTCATGATCGTTCTGGCCCTACGATAATGGCCTGAACTAGGGTATGCAGTTTGTTGGCTATGCTTAACAGTTAGCCTAGACGTCCATTGTCCACACCTATCTCCAGTCCTAATGAGTCCATTCGTCCGATTGACCACATTCCTGTGTAAAGGAAGAAGTTCAGAATGCCATAATTACCTGCAAGTCCTGATGGGCAATAAGCACTAATGCAAGGGCTTCCGGAGTCCTCTCCGATGAAAAATGGTGGGTCGTGGCAAATTTGTCCTCGCGGCGGCCGCTAGGCAGCCATTCTTGGACAGAAAATATCTCACACGTAGTGCTGAATTTCGGAAAGAATCGAAGCCACACCGTCAAGGGAACAATACTTGACAATCATCAGGCGACGAAATGGCAAAATGGACGCGCATGCATGGGGTGGCATCGCACTTGACCCGGTATGCAAGGTACAGCCGGCAATCTCTCCTCTTTGAGATCGGTCGGTCCGCTCCGGGATAGCCAAGCCGGCTCGCGAGGAAACAAGCTTATGTCTCGACTGAAGAAAGAATTTCTCTCACGAATCATCGATCTTGGCGAGCTGTTGAGCATGGGGCATATCACGGTTGACGGATCGCCATCCTGGATAATGGGGCGCGCTATTCAGGGTCCTGAACCCTGATTTCTTCGGACTTTCACTTGTTCCCGTCATTCTTCGTACATTCTGACCAGTGATATACTTCATGAGCTGACCCTTCATTGCCGTTGGATCTCCTGTAATGCAAGTATCATAGAGGGTGGACACGCTTCGTTCAGGCACCCGCGTACTCAAGCAAGACTACAGACCTCACTGGCTCGCCATGGGTACTGCTTGAAGGAAGCACCGCGTGATTATAGACTATGCCTGATGCACCCCGTTTTCCAGTTTCGATCAAAGTCCGTCAGCCAATCTCCGAATTTTGAGTTTGAGCCACTCGAGACCGCGAAGAATGAGCAGAGGAAGCTATTCGTAGTAGCGAAACGGCGATGTCGCCCGTTCCGATGCACTCCCACTTTTCCGCAGGCCCCTGAAGACTGCATATGAAGTTATCGAGTCTATCTCGGAATATCAAGGGTATGAGATATGATGAACCGAGGGGCCGAGTATCGTGTGATGTGTGGTGCCCTCGCCCGCTGAAGTATTACATTGGCTTGCTTCCTGTTGAGAGTGCACTTCTTCACTTTTGCGCTCTGTCTTTCCAAGTTCCACACTCAACTAATCAGGACTTGACCGTCTTGATCGAGTAGGTTTGGCATGATGGTATCTTCGAGGAGTTTCTTCACTCTAATTCTCCTGATCTTCTTTTCATGCCTGCTCTCAAGTACCACCGCTCAGGATGGTACCGAGTGTAGCGCATCTCTACCATGCAAGGTTGGATGTTGCAGTAAATTCGGCTTCTGTGGTTTCGGAGCTGATTGTAAGCACAATCCCAGCGTGTCTCTTTCTTCACTGAATTACTGAGTACTGATACACGGCTCAGACTGCAGCAAATCCGTCTGCACTAACAACTGCGATCGCAAAGCAGAATGCGACCCTGGTGGCTTTGGCAAAGACTACGTCAACAAGACAACATGCCCGCTGAACGTGAGTGTAGTCTTTTTGATACCAAACAGTTCTCCACTGACCATGTGCTTTACCAAAGGTTTGCTGCTCAAAGCACGGTTTCTGCGGAACCACTGAAGAGTTCTGCGGTAACAAGAAGGTCAGCAGGCCTAGCTGTACCGTTGACAAGAGCAGCAAGTTCAAGCGTGTCGTGGGATACTATGAGACATGGTCTGCCTCGCGATCTTGCAACCGCTTCTACCCAGAGCAAATTCCTCGTGGCGTTTATTCTCACATCAACATTGCCTTTGCCAGCATCAATCCCACGACCTTTGAGATTGTGCCTGCTAAGAAGGAAGACCTCGAGATGTTCAAGCGAGTCTCTGCTCTCAAAGCCAAGGACCCCAATCTCAAAGTTATGATTGCTGTTGGCGGCTGGACATTCAATGACCCAGGTCCAACTGCGACGACTTTCTCGGATATTGCGAGGTCTGCTAGTGCCCAGAAGAAGTTCTTCGACTCCACGATCAAAATGTTGGAGACCTATGACTTGGTAAGTCAAAGCACTGTGCCAATATGGCGCATATAAGAGATCATTTCATTAACATCGATGCTACTTTATAGGATGGCATTGATCTTGATTGGGAATATCCCGAGGCCGACGATCGAAGCGGACGCCCTGAAGACTTTGCCAACTTTCCAAAATTCATGAAAAGTTTGAAAGCCGCTTTGAAGAAGTACGAAGTTAGCATCACACTTCCGGCCTCTTACTGTGAGTTGACATTGAACGCTCTCCACTTTGTCAACGATATGACATGTCTGACCATCTTCCTCAGGGTATCTTCAGCATTTTGATCTGAAGGCTCTCTCGCCACACGTGGACTTCTTCAACATGATGACCTATGACTTCCATGGTGTATGGGACAAGCCGAACGAGTTGTGAGTATTTCTTTTCCCAAGTCGTCATTTGTCATCGGACTATGACTGGGCAGTGCAATGGCTAATGTCGGCTGGAACAGTGTTGGACCATACTTGAACAGCCACACGAACTTGACTGAGATCAAGGGAGGTCTTGATCTCCTCTGGCGTAATGGTGTAGACAAGGACAAAGTCACGCTAGGCCTCGCCTTCTATGGACGCGGTTTCATCGCCAGCAGTTCTTCCTGCATGTCCCCCGGTTGTACATACGAGTCGGGAACGTACGCTCAAGCCTGCAGTGCCGAAGTTGGCGTTGCTCTGAACTCAGAGATTGACGAGCTCGTTTCTGAGCAGGGGGCCAAGGCAACACTGAACAAAGATGCTGCCGTTAAGATTGTCACCTGGGGCGGCAACAACTGGCTCACCTTCGACGATGAGGAGACTCTTCGTCTCAAAGCGGACTACGCTCGCAGTCTATGCCTCGGCGGTGTCATGGTTTGGGCCATCTCACACGACACCAGAGCAGGAAAATACTCCATGGCTCTGTCTCGCGTCGCTCCTAGACTATTTACTTCTGAGATGGCTACGGAAGAAGACGACGGTTATGTCACCGATGTTGAGGAGCACAAACAATGTCGATGGACCAACTGCGACGAAAATTGCCCTTCAGACTGGACTCGTATGATGCGAAGTGGCCCAGGTGCAGGAAAGAACGAGTACATGGTTAATGGGGCAGGCTGTGGTGGCCGTGGAGAGCAGTGAGTTGCTAAATTTGCATTGAAGCGTTCGGACTGACATTGCTTAATAGTAAGTTATGCTGTCCCCCCGGCAATAAGCCAACTTGCGGGTGGTATAAACACAACAATGGTGACTGCGATAGTAAGTATGCTACTTTCCCTGTTGACGGTTAACTTATCTGACGCTCGTCTTTTAGGTGGCAAATCCTGCCCCAGCGGCTACAAGGAAATTGGCAGCAACAACGAGTACTGCCACGCCCAGGGTGGAGGCTTCTCACCAATCAGAAGTTATCAAGCAGCCTGTTGCTCAGTGGAAACTGACAACATGAAGCTGTATTCTCAATGTGACTGGAGTGCAAAGGTTGCTTCGAGCACCTGGCCAAGTTGCGAAAAGGCTACCTGCGGTTCCGACGTCATCGCGTTCTCCGGTGACGGTAGTGGTGATGCAATGTGCTGGGGAGCCTGGTACAAGGGAGGTATGGAAGATTCAAAGAAGAACAAGTACTGCTGCGATCAACCTGAAGAAGACAAAAAGTGGAAGGACTGTGAATGGCAAGGCATGACAGATGTAAGTCACCCGGTCCGGCTTTGGAGGCCAAGCGTTGGTTGATGGTGTATCACGCCGAGCTAATTATCGAAACAGTGGACAGATGAAGATACAGGCTTGAAGTTCTGCGACCCTTCATGCTCTGGTGGCCTTACCATGGTTGCTATGGAGCACACTGGATGCTCAGGCGGTGGTGCCAGGGCAAGGTGTTGCAAGCCTGGTTGGACGACCTCAACCACTCGGTATGAAAACAGCGAGGACGAGTACTTTGAGAGTTACATCAAGTGTGAGTAATTTCGAAGCGATCAGGGAATTAGCTGCTAATCCACGTTGCTTTCTACCAGTGTTCATGACGAACCCTGTCTGTTCGAGTAACATCTTTTTCGGAAACCCCCTCAAGGCTCGAGATGAGCAATCTGTCTCCTATTCGAATGGTCAGTTGAGCATATAAACCTGTCCCCTATCACGATGAATGTTACTAACACTACCTCTGCTCTCCAGGCACGCTTGCCAGCCGTCAGATTTGGGGTATTGGCGATATCCAGAGTTTCGCGACAGAGCAGTACATGGAGAAGATGGTTTCGGAGCTCTTCATGGGAACACCGCGAGAGTCCACAAAGAGCATTTGGAACAACACAATGCTCTCATACTCTGAGTTCAATAGTCTGTCCTACGCCAACCTTCACGACTACCAGCAGGCTCAAGGGTACGACTACTATCTCCAGTTGGGCACGCAATGGCCCCGATACGTCGTATGCAACTTGGGGAGCATCAATGCTGCTATCAAAGGAGGAGATGGTGATGGCGATGGTACCTGCACCATTACCTGTGCCTGCACTAGAGATGATTGCTGCGCCGAGGACGACGACACTTGCATCAACTGGAGCAAGGATGGCGAGACGAC